AGGGATTGAATGCGTCTTGACTTTTATAATTGGAGAGGAACTACGTCGTTTTGGTTTTGTTAAATATGGGCTTCTCCAACCCAATGTGTTGTTGTTTTTTTTTTTTTTTTTTAATTATACTTTGGTCTTAACTCTTTAAGTTTTTTAAACCACGTCGCTTAATTGTTTGGTTTTTTTTTTGGTACAACTTAATTGTTTGGTTTCTTCAACGTTTCACGAAAAGCTTCCCTCCGTTCATCGTATGTAAGAAGATATCTCTGCCAGTATTGTATCTCATCACTTCATAGTTCATACATCATAAGGTTTGAATCTAGCTCCGATTCTCATACCTTGCATCATGATTTTTCCAGTCGCGGTTGCAAAAATTTGAAGTTTTTAGTTTGATAAAGAAATGGATTGAGGAATTATATATAAACTCGTTAAATGGTTTATCTGATTCGTTGTTTTGAGCATTTTAACTGGAAAATGACGAGTAAGCTTTTTTTTGATAAAATAGTTTTTAATTGCCTCAAATAACAAAACCTCGAGGGAACAAACATGCTTGCAAGAAATATAGTACTGATAATTAGCCTCAAGTAGACAAACATGCTTGAACATAACTCAAAGGTAAAACCTAATGTTTTAGCTTTGTGAAAAAAAATCCACCACAAAAGTATTTGAGGTCTCTAATGTTCAAATAAGCTTGTTTAATACACATATGTTATATTCTACAGCAAAAGATTACTTAGTTGTATAAAGCATAGACATTTTTAACAAAAAAAACAAGCACGTCATCATTATTATTAGTGTAAAACAACGTATTGATTAAAACCAAAAAAGAAAAAGAAACAACATAATGAAGAGGAAAACATAGCTAATTAAGATCAATTATGTGTGAGTGAAACTTGGTAAGAACCATCGAGCTCTAGAGAGTTGAAGGGACGAACAATCAAATTTGTGCAGTAGCTCCATCTTCTGTGTCTCGAGATTGAAGAGAAATATATCACTTGTGTTCTTTTCATGAAAACCCTTAGGACTACCACAAAAATAGATGGAATTTCTATTGAATCCCTCAATGTCATTGGCCGGCACAGTAATGCCTAGATCCAAAAGCATTGCCTCGTTACCCAAACAATCAACTTTTTTATATTTCTTGAAGTTCCCTGATGAACAAATCTTTTGAACACTGAAGGACCAGGTTCTAGACCCCGTCCATATTTTTCTAACCTCGAGGACTTTTCCTGTTACTGTGACTACAAGCTTTGTTTTAGGACGACCCAGTGAACTACTTAGTAGAGGACGAAGATGACGAAAATGTGGAATAAACTTAACCATACAGAAGTGTACCACCTTGAAAGTTTTGTTGTCCATCTCTCCAGAAAAATTGAAGATTTTGAAAGTACCATCGGTACTTAAGAAGTAAAGCTTGTGATCCTTGTAAACCATGTCACAACAGTCTGAAGTTTCGGGCATTTGATTCCACGAGGTATCTCCTTTCTTGGCATAAACCACACAACGATCTCCAAGTCCCCACAAAACTATATAATCTTTGGATTCCTCGTCAATCCAAAACACAGGGGATTCCATATCCATATTTTCGGACACGCTTTCGTCTTGAATAATGCGAAGCCAATCATCTATGGTTCGTTCAACCTTTACCATGCCAAGTTGTGACTCCACAGCCGGCAGATCGATCCTCTCACGGGTGAATACATTCAAAATGTATAGATTATACTTTGAATCTTGCATAAGAAGCCAACTTCCATAGGTTGCCCTACAAACACTCTTTGCAAATCCCACACCAAGGTCTTGCGTTTTGTAAAGTCTGTCTTTTTCCTCGGGATTGAACAACGTGCATGAACTGTTGTTGTCGTCTTCGGGAAAGAGAATCACCAAAGGGATCTGATTTTTTGTCACGGTCGTTGAAGCAGAGAACCAAGAGGAGCACACGGATTTAGCTCGTTGGAAATCAGCAAACCTGAGGCGTTCGAAAACTAAGTTCAAGAGATCTAGAGGAAGCTCCGACCAGAAATTAGGGTTTTGGTTCTTCTCCATGGCAATATTGAGAGAGGCGGAAGAAATCTCTAAAAACATTTTAATAAACCAAAACAATTTTATATGATTTTTTTGGTACGGAAACACAGTCGTTTAATTCGAAAGCAATTGTTGTTGGCATAAAGGTGGGGTTTTCTGGCCTCGTCTTTATAGCCCATGAATCAACTAGTGTAAAATAATCCTTTTTGTCATTAATTGACATTATGACCCAGTTTCTTCTTCTTTCTCAAACATTTAAATCAGACACTGGAATTTAATGGGGATATAGTAGGAGAACCATAGCACTGAGTTAGTGTATCTTGGAAAATTCATTAGAAAATATTCATTGGAATTTGAAGAAAGGACTGAACAACACATCTTATATTTGGATTTCGATTCACAAATCACAACAATGATTGTATTCTTAAAATTATTCATTAGAGGTTGAACAAAAGAGTACAGAACTAACCTTCCTCCTGCACATATATAAGATAAAGAGTGTTTACAAGACGCTCACAAACACTAAACAAAAGACAGTTTCTGTAAGTTATTCTCTAGTTGACCTTTTTGACTTTGACATTCAGGTCAAAGAGTTTCAAAAAATCAGGTTAAGTAAGAGTAATCTCAACTCAAGAAAATAGCATGGCCCAAATAAAGATCGGTCTTAATAGGTTCAAACCAAAAGAAACTCAAGATAAATCATTTTATATATCTTGATCAGTTTCTTTTGATTTGATCTCTTAAGACCAATCTTTATTGTGGCCTGCTATTTTCTTGACAAGATGAGATGACCATCATCATCGACAAAAATAACATAGAAGTTGTTCGAACTCTCATAGTTAACTCTTAGCTAGTTAGCTATGAAGATCAAGACATGAGACTTTGACAGAAAAAGAAAAGGTCAAGACTTGAAAGCTATATTTAGATGTATTTTAACATGTCATGTTTACTAAATGACTTAATCAATGTGTCATGTTAACTAAATGACTTAACCAATCCATACCAAAATTTAACTAATGTGTCATGTTATACTAAATGACTTAACCAATGTGTCATGTTCACTAAATGACTTCACCAATCCATACCAAAATTTAACTAATGTGTCATGTTATACTAAATGACTTAACCAATGTGTCATGTTTACTAAATGCTAATTGTACTACCAATGTTGCTTAAGAAGTAAAGCTTGCGTGATCCTTGTATACCATGTGATGACAATATGAAATTTATGGAATCAGATTCCACGAGATACAGTATCTCCTTTCTTGGAATAAACCATACACCAACTTCGAAGTCCCCCTAGAACTACATAATCTTTGGTTTTCTCGTCAATCTAAAATTCATAGGAATTAGAAGAAAGGACTGAACAATACAGCTTATATTGGATTTTGAAATTTTGATTCACATATCACAACACAACACATGCTTATATTGGATTTTTGTATTTGAAAATTATTCATTAGAGGGTGATCATATCATTAACTAGGGTAAAATAACATATTGATTGAAACAAAAAATAAAAACATAGTTGAAATCAACATTTTAATTCATGAAAGTTGGTACTGAACCATTGAGCTTCAGAGAATTGAACTGAAGAAGCATAACTATCAAATGTGTGCAGCAGCTCCGTCTTACGTGTCTCGAGATTGAAGATAAAGATATCATCTATGTTATTTTGATATCTATCACTGAAATAAATGGAATTTCTATTGAATCCATCACTGTCATTGGCAATCACAGTGATGCCTTGATCCAAAAGCATTGACTCATCTCCTAGAGAATTAATCCGCCGTTCTAGTTTCTTCAGGAATCTTGAAGAATAAACCTCGAAAACCCGGAAGGACCATGCTCTAGGTCTCTCTCTATACAATTTTTCGACCTTGAGAACTTTTCCTGTTACTGTGACTACAAGTTTTGTGTCAAAAACTTTCCATGACTTTCTTGTTGCAGGAGCTCCTAACCGAAATCTTTCCACTTTAATACTCCATTGAAAGGTTTGTTGTGGAATCACTCCAGAAAATCGAAGATTTTGAAACTACCAGTTTTGCTTAGGAAGTAAAGCTTGTGATCCTTGTAAACCATGTCAAGACAAAATGAAGCGTTGGGAATTTGATTCCACGAGGTATCCCCTTTCTTGGCAGAAACCACACACCAATCTTCAAGTCCCCAAAGAACTACATAATCTTTGGTTTTCTCGTCAATCCAAAACACAGGGGATTGTATGTTCCTACTACAGTAGGGTTTATACCAACAAGTTTGGTAAATTGCATTGCATGCCTCATAATCTTTCCACAATAAACCCGAAGGAGGTAGATTGATCCTCTCGTGAGTAAAGAGATTCACAATATAGAGATCACTCCATCGATCTCTCATAAGGAGCCAACTTCCATGAGTTGCCCTACAAAAACTCTTTGCAAATCCCTCACCAAAATCTTGCGTTTTGTAAAGTTTTTCTTTTTCCTCGGGATTGAACAACGTGCATGAATTTTTGTTGTTGTTGTTGTTGTCTCGAGGGAAGAGAATCAGCCAATGGATATGATTTTTTAGCACGACTTGTCTGGAAGCAGAGTACCAAGACGAACAGACGGATTTAGCTCGTTGGAAATTAGCAAAGCTGAGGCGTTCGAAAACTAAGTTCAAGAGATCTAGAGGAAGCTCCGACCAGGAATTAGGGTTATAGTTCTTCTCCGTGGCCATATTGAGAGAGACAAGAAATCTCTGAAAGGTTTGTAACCGAACGATAGAATGTGTCTAGGTTTTTTTATGATTTTATTTAGTACGGAACTAACCAGGCGTTCGTTTCACCGTTAATTACGTATGGGCTTTTCTGGCCTAATCTTGATAGCCCATTTATCAACCACTGTAACAAACCTTTTTGTCATTTATTTACATTTTGACCCAATTCTTCTTCTTGCTCAAACTTTTGCATTAGACTGAAATTTTATGGATTTAGAAAGAACCATAACTTTTGAGTGTCTATTGGAAAATTTAATAAAAATTATTCATTGAAATTCGAAGAAAAGACTAAACAACACATCTTTTATTCAACTAATCACAACACAGCTTGTATTGGTAAACTTAACCATTAGAGGTTGAACAAAAGACTGAAAGAGTAAAGTACATGATACAATTGACTTTTGTAGTTTTCAGGTCAATGAGTTCCAAAAAATCAGGTTAAGTTGGAGTAATCCCAACAAAGCTGAACTCTTTTCCCTACATTCATTATAGAATTTTTATCGTTAGATTGTTAATAAGTGAATATATAGTTGGTTATGTTATAAAAACTTATTCCACCATTATGCAAATGCATATAAGCAACAGAAAATTTCATTAGGCGAATTCTCATTGGCCAACTTATATCATCATGCTATGCAATGTTACTAATCCGAACCAATGTTTTTCTATACCGGTGAGGGGGTTTTGAGTTTACCTTGTGGTAGAGGACTCAAGTTCTTCAACGTCTGATCTCTTCCTCTTCCTCTGTGCCGGAGAAATCTTATGTTCTCCGACGAGTAACGACGTCGTAGCTTGCAAATGAGTCTGAAGCACCATCTGAGTCAAGTCGACTTCCATTTCCAACCTTCTCTTCTCAGCTTCCAACCTCGCTGCTTCACGAGCCTTGATCATCTCCATCTCCGCTAATTCCGTTTGAAGCAGAGAATCAGACAAGACTCGTATGATCGCGGACAGTCCCGTTGAAGTTGTCGAGTCACAGCTCATGTTTGACTCGGTCCCGGAGCTCAAGTTTGACTCAGTCTCTGAGTCGGAGCTGTAAGGATCGTCGGAGCTATCTTTACCGGTCAAGACATCGTCGGTCGGATATTCTCCGACGATGAGGTCTGGCTCCGGCGAAATCTTGCCGACTTGCCCATGACAGTGTAAATTTGGGCACACAGAGAGAGAGACAGTGGAACATGGGTTTTGTTGTTTTGGTTTGATTCTTTCAACTTTAAAAACTGATTAGACTAAAGTGGTTCCACTTTCGATTAAAAGCAACTTTTTTTTTCTCACTTTGAAGGTATACGAACGTTGTTCATACATTCATTAATTCCGAAACAAAAAATCATTTTTCTTTCTTTATCTATTAAATTCGCTAAAAGCCTAAAAGATTATTCGGAAATAATTCAAAGGACTTCTCCATCAGATCCCATTTTCTCAAACATTATGATTAAAAAAAGAAAAAAAAATCCCATGATTATCTCCGAACGATTATAACATAAGCAGATTAATAATTAATAATTAATAATTAATGTAAGTTTGTTTCTGGCTTAGCGCACGCGCATAAGAGAACACGCTTTAGAATTAACAAGGCACGAGTCAGAAAGTGGATTACACGCGCTTGGTTTTCGCGTATAAGCCTTGTTAGCGTATTATTTCATAGTTAGTTCGATTTCCTAATTCCTTATTACTATCTCTCTCTAAATTCGTTTTTTTTTTCTTCCGATCAAAGCAGCGAAAAAGCATCGGAGATATGTCGTCTAAGGACAAGAAACCGTCGAAGCCAGCAAGTGGTCGGACTGGTGGTATCCGTACACTTTCCGATCTGAACCGAAGATCAGAGCCTGATTCCGATAGTGACTCCGATGGACCTCAAGAGTACTACACCGGTGGCGAAAAAAGGTTCGTACTTTAAAAACCCTTAATTTCAAGATTTCAGATTTTCTGGTACTTCATTAGTTTTACTATGATCTGTTTAATTATGTTGTGTTTACTAAAGTTTTTGATGATTCAACTATAATGGTTTTAGCCAATTAAGTGTTTTAATCAAATTTATTACTTTTTGAGATTTGTGTAGTTTAGTAATTTAGTGATTGAATTTGAGATTATCTAGCTTTAGCTTTGTAATTAAACTCAATTTTCAATTTGATGATTGGTATGATTGGTAAAATGTTGGATCTTTGTTTTTTGTTGTATGTGTGCAGTGGTATGCTAGTTCAGGATCCTACAAAAGAACCAAAACACGATGATGTTGATGAGATATTCAATCAAGCAAGACAACTAGGTGCTGTGGAAGGACCTCTTGAGCGACCTTCAAGTTCCAGAAGCTTTACTGGAACAGGAAGATTGCTTTCAGGAGAAAGCGTGCCAACCGCTCTTCAACAGCCTGAGCCTGTGATTCACAATATTATTTTCTGGTCTAATGGATTCACTGTAGATGATGGACCTTTGAGGAAGTTGGATGATCCAGAGAATGCTTCTTTTCTTGATGTGAGTGTGCTTTTTATTTGGTTAATGCTTATGAATTGGCTAGTAAAATATCGTGTTGAACCGTTGTCTTTACGTGTATTGCAGAGCATTCGAAAGTCTGAATGCCCGAAAGAGCTTGAGCCTGCTGATAAGAGAGCTCCGGTACATGTTAATCTTATGAGAAGAGATGAGAAATGCCCTGTGAGTCCTCTCTGAAATCCCCATATATTGCTCTTTTGTATTGAACTACTGATAAGTATCTTTTAGTATCGACTATCTTGAGCTTGATCCATCTTATAACTATGGTACCCAACACTTAAACATCTTTATTTCTTCTTCTTTTGTAGGAGAAAGAGAAACTTAAGGTTGCATTTCAAGGAGTTGGAAGGACTCTAGGTGGTGCAAGCTCATCAACAGCTTCAAGCCTAGACAACCTAACTGATGTAGCAGCGGTTTCATCACCGTCGCAGAGCCTTGTAGTAGATGAAACTCTCCCATCCACATCGATCCAGCTTAGACTCGCGGACTGGGACACGCATGGTAGCTAAGTTCAACAACCATCACACGGTCAACGACATTCGTGGTTTCATTGAGTTTTCTCGACCAGGGAATTCAAACAACTACACCCTTCAGGTCATGGGGTTCCCACCAAAGCCACTTACTGACCCTTCTCAGACCATTGATCAAGCCGGTCTCGCAAACTCTGTAGTCATTCAGAAATTCTAGAAAGTTTCGTTTCTTTCTTTCTTCTTCTATTCATATGTATTAGAGAGAGATTTCAACAACTTGGAATTGTACTGAAAATATTCATAAAAATGTTCTAATCGGCTTATTGTGGCAAGAGAGATAAAAACATCATATGGTTTCTATGATTTTTCGTTGAATGTGTTTACTTTCATGCTTGCTACATATAGTCATATATAAGAGTGAAAAGTTTGGTTTCAATATTTGAATTATGTGTAAGTTCTAACATTACTTCAAAATTCACATGAAACATTATTTGATTTTTTTTGTTTTATTAAAGTTCAAACACTAGTATATGACAGTTTGGTATATCGAAATATCATTTAACTCTGTCAGTTGGGCCTTGGCCCAATTGGTTTATCTGGTAGTTAGAAATGCATGCGGCCTGATTACCCCCTGGCATTAGTCGGAAGGTATTCCAAACTCGGATCAGGCAGTGTGGTGGCCCAATTCTACCTGGATCGGGAGAAGTCCACTCTGTAGCACCTCGGTGCGTTCCTACCGAAGCCGACCGGATCAGCCGATAGGGTTTATCAAAAAAAAAAAAAAAATATCATTTAACTTTTGATTAAATATTCATGTTATTGGTGTGCCAAACTGGCTGTTTTGGACCTACGTATGTCCATGATTAATTTAGTTTCATTCACTAATCTTTTGTTTCATCAAATACCAAAACTGATGATTATTAGTTATAGAAATAATTAGCAATTTTATTTGCCGAAAGATTAACACGCGTGGTACCATTCTAGATTTAAATATAAACATTGATTTTGTCAGTAATGGCTCAAACAACATGATAACTTCATAAAAACTTGGATGACCATGAAAATTGAAATAAATTTTTGTTACTGTTTTACCTATAAATTCATCTTTCGAAATTTCCTTTTGTCTACACAAATATTTCAATCAAATTTCAAAACGACAGTAAAAAAATTTGAAAATCGAGCCACTTTTTTCCCATTTTACGGTAAATGTCAGGTGCAGAAAAAAGTGAAAATAATTCCAAAATTGTTAATAAGAGAAATAAAATAAAAGAAAAAGGGCAAAAAAATAAATTGGGCTTGTGAACAGTAAAACTCCCAAATTTGCAAATGACTCATCTTCTTCACCTGGAGAGAATCTAGGGTTCCAGATTTACTCTTCGTCTTCCTCTCTTCTCTTCTTCCCCACTGGGATTTTCCTTTTCTTCTCTACCCATCGATCTACACATCCTCATCTTCTTAAAAGCCCCAATCTTTATACATTTCGGGAACAAAAAACCTAGCTTTTTTTTTATTCCGGCTTAACCAGTTTTCGAAAAACCCTAGCTTCCATGGCGAAAACTCGACCTGGTGTCGCCTCCAAAATTAAGCCTGGTAGGAAGGAGCTGGACTCTTATACCATCAAGGGCACCAACAAAGTTGTGAGAGGTAGTCTTTATATGATCCTTTATTATCGTCACTTGTCAAATTTAGACATTCTTCTGCATGTTTTTGGGCATTTGAGTGATGAGATTAGGTTTATAAAGGAAGGGATTGCTTGAAAGCTTGGTTTTGGAGTCTGTATTGTTCAATGTCTGCTTAGGTGTTTTAGATTCACTCTTGTTTTTGGTCTTTTTGTTCAGGTGTGAAGCTCGCTGCTAAGGGTTAGTCACTGCTTCGTAGCTAGGCTTTAGAAATTGTTTGGTGTATGAAATGGCACAAAATGTGATATTTGGTAGCTCTCTTGTTGTTAGAACTGAGATTTCTTGCAGTGAATTGTTTGGATTTGGGCTTTTTAGTGTAAATTTCCTTGCTTTTTTGGTTTCTTTTAATGAAGTTTGCGTTTGGCTGGTTGGTTAAATGTGAAACCTGAATTCAGTGTATCTCTATCATCTGCATTGTAGCTTGTTATGTTTGTTGACACAAAATGTGTGCTTCCACATGTTAAGTATCTGCATATATCTAGATTCTGGTTTTTTTCTTCTGGTGACTAGGTTTATAAGAGTTATGGTCTAGGCATTTTTCGTTGAAGGGGGTAATCTTTAAAAGCTTGAATGTTGAAAATCACCGCTTTTTTAAATTTGCAACCCAAACTTTTGTTCATTTAAAGTTAATACCTTTTTTAGATGAAAGAATGCTAGTGTTGGGCATTTATATCGCTTTACTAATGTTGGCATGATGAGCTCTGAACTAATCCTTGACGATATTTTCTGCAGCGGGAGATTGTGTGTTGATGCGCCCATCAGATGCTGGTAAACCACCATATGTGGCCCGTGTTGAGAAGATTGAAGCTGATGCTAGGAACAATGTGAAGGTGCACTGTCGATGGTATTACCGTCCTGAGGAGTCCCTTGGTGGTAGGAGACAATTTCATGGAGCCAAAGAGCTTTTCCTGTCTGATCATTTTGATGTTCAAAGCGCACACACCATCGAGGGCAAATGCATCGTTCACACCTTCAAGAACTACACGAGGCTTGAAAACGTCGGGGCGGAGGATTATTATTGTAGATTCGAGTACAAAGCTGCTACTGGCGCGTTTACCCCTGATCGAGTTGCTGTGTAAGTATATAAATAGTAATCAAATCAGAACTATGTCTTCTTATTACCTGGAATTTCCATGATTTTTTATTATGTTTTGGGTTGTTTTTGGTTCGGAAGGTACTGCAAATGTGAAATGCCTTACAATCCAGACGATCTCATGGTGCAGTGTGAAGGCTGCAAAGACTGGTAAATGTTGATATTTGTCTTTTTTATTAACTTCCTTGTGTTTCAACAGAAAAGAGACTTTATAAATCTGTTTATAAACTTACGTATTCTTTTCTACGAATTATTGATAATAAGCATTTCAATTTGATGTTGTAGGTATCATCCTGCGTGTGTTGGCATGACGATTGAAGAAGCAAAGAAGCTTGATCACTTTGTATGTGCTGAATGCAGTTCTGATGACGATGTCAAAAAATCGCAGAACGGGTTTACTTCATCTCCAGCTGATGATGTTAAGGTCCGTTTGTCTCTCTTTAGTCATCTCCTATACAGATGTTCTATCACTTTGATAACTTTAGTCTCTGCCCCTCTGTGTGCGCCTGTGTCATTGACTTCAATTTGAGATCTAGGAAAAGATACTAAATCAAAATTATGTACTGGCTTAATGGTGCTTGCTGAGTGGAGGAATGGCCACAAAGATACAATTTGTGGTCCTTGGTCCTGTCAGGATCTTTGAATCGTTCCTCCAGGTCTTGCTGCAAAACAATCTGTCTGTTAAGGTTATCAAAGATCAATTTTGTAATGCTTCTACTTACACACATTTAAGCATTCTGTAGATATCAGAGTTAGAGTGTTACCGTAAAAAACTGATTTGAAGAACCCATTTTTATTCCACAATATTAGCTTGTCAAATGTCTGGCATTCAAAGGAGAACCATTTTTCTATCTATTTTGTGCCCAAAAACTTGTGGTTGATATTAACAATGTCGTTATCTTCAGGTGGAAACGAAGCGCAGAAAAAGATAATCGCGAGTTCTTGGAGAGAAAAGCCAGAGGGGATGGTAAGTTATAACTTGGGAAGCTCTTTGGTGCAGATTTTAGTAAGTTAGGGTTTTATCTTTGTCGGTCTTTGTCGTCTATGGTTGTGATGATGTCTGTATGGTGCGTTCGAAAACTTAGAGAAATGTGAAAAATGGAGAGAGATTGGAGAGATGATGAAGAAAATTATGTTGGCAGAGTCAGTTGTATAGACTTTTCCGTGGGGTTTAAGTTAACTTTAGGTTTGTTTATTGTTATGGTCTGTTGTTGTTTTGTGGCTGATGAGAACAGATGAATATGAACAACGCTTTTGACTTTGGGTCATCTCAACAAAAACTAACATCAGATCTATCTTCCTTCTTAATCACATGTTTCACTCTTCTTAAAGAATCAAAAAGGCTTTACTAAATTATTCAACAACAAAATTTGAAACATTATTTTGATGCAGCGAAAGTCTCAGACTTGATGATTCGACAATAGAGGAAAAAAAAGGTACAAGAAGGATGATTGAAACATGGTTATGTACTCTAATTATATTCTCACAAAAATACACAAACATAAAATTTCTTACTTTTTGTAGTCTGAGCCAAGATGCTTCTTTACTTCTCTGTAGCATCTTTTGGATCAGATTCTCTTATGCATTGAGCAAAACTCTCTCTTCCTTTTGAGTTTCAAGCTGCATTTTAGCTTTGAATGACAGAAAAGACTCGAGCTTGGAGTAGTTTTGGATCATTTACTCAGTATGAGATATCGATGTGCTCGTGTTCAGGTGTCCTGTAAGAAAATCCAGTGTCATCACTAGATCGTCGTTTGACAACACTTGCCCTTTGAACTAATCTCACTAGCTGTTGCACCACCTCTGACATTGGAGGCCTGAACTCTGGTTCCGGCTAAATTAACAAACAAAAAAAAGAGAGATATGTATGTTACTTCACAAAACAACTTCGGTTTTGTTCAACTAGGATATTCTCTAGAGTTCGGATGGTATTTTACCTGAATACAGAGAGCAATGATATCCGCAAAACGAGACAGTGACTTAGCTGGATACATGCCATTAAGAGAAGGATCAACCATTTTAGACAAAGCATCTATATCGTGAAGCTGCGGTGTAGCCCATCTCACTAGTGATTGCTCTGCTCTCGTCCTCGAGCTATCAAACAAACATACACAGAGCACAATCTACTTAAGGAAACTCAAATCAATGATTTTTGCTCAACATTGGCTACTAAAAATATGAAAAAGAAACCTGTCAAGAGGCTTCCGACCAGTTAAGAGCTCAAGCATGACTACTCCAAAAGTGTATACATCACTTTTCACAGTATAAATTCCCGACAATGCAAACTCTGGAGCGCTGTATCCAAATGAACCTACCACTTGAGTTGAAACCTGTTGACATATATAAACCATGAAAGACTCAGAAAATGAATCACATTAGCTTAAAATCTGATTCTTCCCATTGTTATTACCTGTCTCTCAGTGTTAGGTGTCAAAGCAGCTAAACCACTGTCTGATAAGTGAGGATTAAGTTCTTCATCTAGCAATATATTCGCCGATTTGAAGTTTCTATGTACAATTGAAGGCAAGCACACTTCGTGCAAGTACCTGTTAAAACAATAACAGAAAACTCCGGTTTAACATGAATGTTGATCATTAAAGAGACTAGAAATAATCATAACTATTTGCACATACTCTAAAGCCTTGGCAGTTCCAAGTGCCACTTTAACACGCGCATTCCAAGTAAGATTCATGCTTCTATCATCATTCGTGTGAAGCATATCATCTAGATTCCCATTTCCCACATATTCATACACTAGAAGACGTTGACCATGCTCAGTGCAGTATCCAGCCAAGGGAACAATGTTTGGATGCCTCAAGCGCGACATGTTTGAGACGGCTTCTAAGAAATTATCTTCTTCTTGTAATGAAAGTGCTGCATTATCAATCTTCTTAATCGCCATTATCTAGAAATAGGTTACACAGAGACATTTAGTCCAAAGAAAGAATATTGGCTTTGCTTAGTTTAGAAAGCTCTCAAGTTTTGAATTACCTTTCCATTGGGGAACTCTGCTCTATAGACACGGCCTAGAGAACCTTCACCGATGATGTTTTCTTGACTAAAGCTGTTTGTTGCAACTTGCAGAGAGGAAACAGTGTATTGTGAAGCAGTGATTGGAGATCTTATTCTACTTATAGACCCGTTCTTCATAACCCGATCAACCGTTACTTTTTCTGCAGGTGAAGACTTCAAGTCTGCAACGGATGCTACGCTTTTTACCCTCTGCTCTTGCATCTCAGGTGTTCCACTAAGTGGAAGACTTCTTTGGGAAGCTCTTGTACTTCCTCTAACTTTCCTTTTTTTCTTGTGAAGGCACAAGTAAAGAACAAGTGCTATAATACCAGCAACAAATAGAGAACCGAACACTATACCAGTGACTACTCCACCAGACAAACCCTTGCCAGAGTCTGCAGATTTCTTTTCAGAACCAATTTTGGGTTTCTTAGAACCAGAAGGTTCTCCTTTTTTGCCAGGTCTTTCTGGCTGAGGAGTGGCAGGGACGTTATCGAAGGAATTACCATCATATCTGTATCATTTAGAAATGTCAAAGACATAAACTTACAGTTCTAAAGTAAGGAATTAATAGCTTGTTACTGAAAACTTACATTAAGGTCTGAATAGAGCTAAGCTCCTTAGGTATGGATCCACTGAAATGATTGTTTGCAACATTTCTGCCAAGAAAGCATAGACGGTAAGTGTGATGGAGGAATTTATACATTCGTTTCTTTTTCTACTTGCAATGAAACTTACAAAGTTTTCAAAGGCAAACCCGAGAGAACATCGATGGAACCTGTCAACTGATTGTTCTGAACATAACTGTCAGAAATGAAGATAATCAGATATCATTCTCATTCGGAATTTCCTTTCGCACTTCCTAAGTATCGTTCCAATAAAAAATGTTTGAAAGCACTCACAGAACGGAAAGCGTGGACACTGTGCTTAAGGAACTCGGAAGATCGCCACTGAAGTTGTTATGAGAAAGGTCCCTGAATAAAGCAACAATAGATCAATGGATGCTGGAAACTGGAAGTGATATGACTATGATAAAGAGATAGGTAAGAGATCTTACAAGGTTGACAGTGACTTATGATCAGCAAAGATATCTCCTATCGACATTGTTAGTGAATTTCCACTTACATTCCTACACAATAACATTTCAAACTTTAACACATAAGAAGAATAAATATGCTAAGTCTCACAGTGTATGGTTATAGAAAAGCAAACTCACAAATACGAAAGAGAACCCATGGCGGATATGGAGTATGGAAGGTTACCACTTAGGTTGTTTCTCGCAAGATTTCTGCATTATATTTTCTTTCAACAGTTAGTTTCAAATTGAAAACTGAGAATAAATACTATAACAACATAGCTAAGCAAACACAGCATTACAGGCTTGTGAGATTCGGTGGCAACTGATATGGAAGTGTATCATGGATGCTGTTACCACTAACATCCCTGTAACCAAACAAAAGAGACCAAAGTTATTGAACCAGAATCTAAAAAGCACACAGATCAAACCAACAAACAAAAACAGAAGGAAATTTCCAAAGACAATACAATTTTCTGAGTGACATTAAGTCTGAGAGCAAGTATCCAAGAGTGCCAGAGACTCCTAAATCCGATATATCTCTGTTAAAATCACAACAACATTGTAAGAGACTCCAGAATCAATCAAATCAATGCAAGTGGAAAGAGCAAAAAAAAAAAAACTCAAAATCTGATTCTTTACATAGAGACAACCGCTGAGCCCTCACAAGTAATCCCTTTCCATGACTCTCCACATGGATCACCACCACCATTTTTCCAATTGGTTAACTGTGAAGGACTATTTAGTGAAGTATACAAAACTTGAAGGGCTTGAACTGCAATAAATCAGTAAGAAGAAAACAGCTCAGAAGTCAGAAAAAACCCATCAAAGGATCTATCAAGAAAGAAGAAAAATCTTTCATAAAGTTTACAACTTTCCTTTTTGAGCTAAAAAGTAAGTAAAGAAGAAAAATGATTTTTTTCTACCGGCATTATTTTCCGGCGGTTTCTCAGGGAAACAGACAGTGTCAAAATCATCAAATCAACATTAATGCAAAAGGGTTTTATCTTCTGAATCTAAAGTAATCAACTTTAAAAAACCCTTCAATCTCAAATCACATCGTTAAACCAAAGAGATGATCAATCAAAACAATGAGGTAAAAAAAAGCAGAGAAGAAGAGAAGTCACAAAGCTCAATAATTTACCATCAGATGGATCAGTAACACAACGAACAAAAGAGAATCCAGAGATCGAAGCAATGAATAGAAGCAAAACAATGAACATAGCTCTATCTCCAATAGCCATTAGCGTGTCGGTAGTGATCACGTACGAGGACTAAGAAACATGGCTATGAAAGGTCCAAAAGAGAGAATAGACAGTGACAGAGAAGAAGAAGGAGAAGAAGAAGAAGAGTAACAGTGTGTGTTGGGGATAGTAGTAGTTAGAGGCATCGCCATTAAAGAAAGGGATAGGTAGTGAGAGAGAGATTGATTCCAAGCTTGCTCTGAGTTATGAAGAGAGAGAAAACTATTTATTTATTTTATAAAATAGTTTAATTTCAGGTTTATTTTATTATTTTATAAGAAAACCTCTGTTTCTCCGTAGATTCATTAACATTAATTGATAAAACGTATTTAAGACTTCATTTAACTCATAAGGCAAGATTCTTAATAGCATTGATTTAATGATTATATTAGTATAAGTCTTTTTATAATTTATTATCTTATTATATAATTGTGTGATTGAGATGAAATTGTTGAATTTCTTGACCAGTTTGATAATTGAATCTGACTGACTGACTTGTGTTATTGTTGGTGTCGGTGGGATTTTGGAATTTGGTTTCAATTTTTCTACATATTTTAAAGTTTTGAAGAACAATTTTCTATGTATAATAAAAGTGATTTTAATAATATAATGTTTTAAAAAATGAGAGTGAAAAAATAGTAAATTTTGGGAGGCAACATTTGACTCGCGTTCTTTTTGGGCTATTTGGCTTTCGCTCTCAGTTTTTTTTTTTTTTTTCACTGAAGAACTTTTATTGAATTTCACACAAAATATTACAAACATAAGCCGACGGGAATGGATCCTCGGAACTGAGCCGGCGGAAACGAATTCCCCGGAAACTGAGCCGGCGGGATTGAAACCCCCGGAACGAAAACCCAAATTAAACATTAAGGCTTACAAAATCACTACTTGTGTCAAACTTCTTCTTTACGCCGATGAAATCCGAGAACAGAAGGTTCGCAAATTATCGGAGGAACTGACAAACTTCATTATAGATCTTCTGGTCTTCTTTCCTCGCTTGGTGATTTAAAGACTTCGAAAATTAAAATCTTGAGCATCCTTATGTCGGCAAAACGGTTGAACCTCACTAGAGGCTTTATGAAAGCGTCGATTGAAGCCTGGGCCGGGATTGTCGAACTAAGCGACTTAGATCCGGTGGGAGGAGCCAAGAACTGAGCAGATCTCGCCCAGATCTGAGAGTTGGATCGAGTGGAGGAAACCTAAAATAGGCTGCCCAAAACCGCTTCACCTACCACAACAAGAGCTATGATAGCTAAGGGACGATACGATAAGAGCATGTTCGCTCTCAGTTTTGTTTTGCTTTTTCCAAAGCCTTTTTTTTATTTCTTTTGTTAATCCTCTACTTGTGTTCTTAAATTCCTTATAGTACACCTTTTATATTTCTCTGCCACGTCTTCGAGTTAACTTCACCCATTTGGTTACCAATTATTTGTACTTGCTACTGTACAAGCTCTCTCAATCTTTCATCTTTTGTTCTATTCCAATTCTGAATCATCATTTATTGACCAACCAACTCTGAAACACTATAGGACGTATAATTATAAATAGATTTCACTACATTATTATGCATGAGGAGTTTCTATATACAAATAATCTAAATGGGTAACACACCTATTGGATTCGTATAAAAATGTTTTGTAAAAATTATAATTTAAATATTGAATGAGTATATAAGAACATTTCTTCCTTCCTAGATTTAGAGAAAAAAAAAAAGATAGATGTATTTAATTTACCTTTTGTTTTACTAAAGAAATGTGAATATAAATAAGTCTAAATTGGTTGAACTAAGACAATCAGCTAAGAACATTAAAGATATTGGTTTGTAAATGCCAAATAGGCTTATTGTTGGTGAGAAAATAAACACACAGAAAATTTAAGTTGGCTAACCTTTTAAAAAATGATTTGACAAACATAAAAAACGTCAAAGGCTAGTAAATTCAACCATACAAAACAACTGAGCTTACGAAGTTACATTTGTTTTTGATAAAATACGAAGTTACATTCTACATACAATTTTTAAACGAACACGTGAAGGTGTTTGGAATTTTTTTTTCTTTCTAATATATAATTTTTGAGAGAATTCTAAAAATGATATAGCAGCAAAAAGGAAAACGACATATATCTATAGACAAAAGAAATGTGAGATAGTTTCGTGAAAACGACTAATAATAGACTACATAGAGTAAAAGATATTGTCCACTCATGAAATCCACGAGCATAATGGGGTTACCTTTTGGCCTGTTCTCATGTTATATACTTTCTTTTTTTTGTACTTTTATGAAAATATTATTCCTCTCAGGAGATATTATAATTAATCAATGAGTAAATACACATATACAAGGAATTACATACTTAAAGCTGAAAGTGAAATCGTGTGTGGATCCAATCTGGCTAATAGCTTATAGCCCGCCCGTTCTTGACAGAGAAGAGAACATCATGATTATTAAATCAACTTTTTCCCCCATTTTTGTTGATCTTTTTCATTGTATCGTTTGATACACAAAGTTTAGAACGAGATTTTTCTCCATTTTTCTTGATTTTTCCATTCTATCTTTTTATATGTTTTATAAAAAGTTTAGAACGAGATATAAATTTGAACGGTAGAATCGTATAGTTTGTCTCTTACGGACTTACCAATAGATGAATTCGTCGGACACAGAAAACCATGAGTAGTTTTATGTTATTTTGTCACATTCATGTAGTTTAGTAGTTACACTAATTTACAATTATATATCGTATAATTAAAATAAACTATTCTTATCTTTTGTATTGTATCGGTGAACTGAAACAGAAAAAATGCATGAACTCAATGTGTGTAAATATAGGAGTATTTGGAAGAATCAAGATTGCTTTTTAATGTATTGAAAGAGAGACTTTATTCCACGGAATGAAATCCCGTGTTCTTGTCTTGGATTCTTTCAACGTAACATATATATTTAAGTAACGTATATCTATTTTATTAATGAGCAATTTTTAGAAGAAAAAAACTTCAATATGTTACTGTCATGTTATAAGCTGTAACTATTTACATATATATGTATATCTATTTTCATGAAATCTTAACTTAATTGGAAAAAGAGTACTTCATATGAATGGTTATATAAATCAAATGGAGAACTTAAATTTTGATGAGTAGTTGAGCTAATCATGTCAGACAGTTGTATGTAGCAAAAAAGATTAAATTCACATTACAAGTTTTCATATCTAAATCCTAACGAATTTTTGTTTGTTGATGCATCAAAATCACTGAAAGATAAGAGAAGGACAAACGTAAGATGTGATTGAACTTTCTATAGTCTGTATAAAGTATATCTTCCAATTAACTTTAGTGGCTCCAAGTGAATTCTACCTCTAACCATATTGTTATGTTTTCTTTTCGATAAATATACAACACAACTAACTACTTATAGATATGAATGTGACATGAAATTTTACAAGTCACAACATCAAATCAAGTGAGGATGACATGCCAATAGTCATTGTCGAGGAAATGAAAATGAGGCTATAGAAATCAATGAAGAAAACAACACAAGTTCATAGAATGAAAAACCTCTGATCGACCAATTGCTTCGAATGATATTGAATTTGTTTAGCCTGGTCCATAAAGCTTGGGGCTATTTGAAAAGGGCCCTATTAGACTTCGACCCATAAACTTTTTTGTTAGCCTGTTAAGGTCACTACATTTTCTTGAACATCTTTCCTCACTTCCATACGTCCGACAAAAAGATCCAAAAGGCATGAGAATCTTTCTCTCAAATCAATTTTAACTAACATCGAAACATTGATTTTCTCGTGGCGTATGCTTAGTTGTAATACACGAATCTTTTGATATCATTTTCTATATATAGTGACCGAATCAAACTGATCTTTACATTAGTAGCATATTAGTGGGCTCCAGATTCGGGATCGAAATAATCCATGAACGTATGATATGGTCGTGGCCACTAATAAGGTGAACGTATATATAAGTTGCGAAAATCTAATCTCTAAAGTTCAATAATTCAACAACTTCCTTTTTTATTTCGTTTATAATTGACTCAATATTCTGATTTAGTGGAGTATGAAAGAAACACCACATCTTGTATGATTAATTATTAGCATAAAGTTCACACACTAGGCCAACATAATTACTCATTTAACCATTGTTTATTTGTTTTAAGAAGCACCACTCACACGCTCCGCGAGTGCACTCATTATTAACCTGTGTCCCCACGAAAAGAGCATGTCTTACCAATCGTTACGCTAGAATCTCTACAAAAGTTGGTACGTGCACTACACTAACTTAGTTTGTGCGTGATCCGAAATATCACAATTCACAACATTTTCTGCCCGTTACAAAGTCCATGTTTCAACTAACCGTTACGATTTCCAAAACTAATAACTAGCTACCATGCACTCAATAAATTCTCATTATTAAAATACTATTGTTTACATCCACCGGCCAGAAAAAGGCAAAAACAATTTGTTCCTATATCAATACAATTACTGTTTACACCAATAATATACTTTTTTGTGAACAAACCATTCTTAACATTAAACGACAATGATGTTAACGTTTCATCAAGAAAAAAAAAAAACACACACACAATGAGGTTAATTCAAAAGAGTATAAGAGCACCTCCAATGGTGTGAAGTGTTTCTCCATGTCCAAAACTTTATGCGGCCATGCGTGTAACGATTTCTTATGAAGTAGAACGGAAACTTTTGTTAGTTTTTCGACAAGAGATCCAAATCCTCAACCATCCCATCAACATAGTTACATATACTCATGTTGCATTTTAGTTTACTAAATTTTTCACATAGAACAAAAAAGAAATTAAAAAAAAAAGGAAAAACAAAGAAGCAAACACAACATAAACAAACTGTAGAAGGAATCATCATCAATGGATTATTTAATTTGAAAATTCAATAAAGGAAAACCACTTACTACACAAAGAAAATGATTTTTGCGTCAAGATCACAATTGATTAAAAGCTAAAACACAAAGGAAGATTCGGAATTACTAAATTAATTCTTTTAAAATTATTTAATCAGCCGACTAAATTAATACTTTGTTTTAGGTGAACGAAACATAACCTTTCACAAAAGAACCAACGGCACTAAGAATAAAATATTCGAAAATTAAAAAAGACGATAAATATTAAACAAATATAAATTATTATATTTTTGGTAAGCCAATGAGCGTATTAATACCCAAAAAAAAAAAAAACTCTGGTTCTTCTTCTTCTTCTTCCTTGCGACTGTACGATCTCTTTCATCTCCCACTCTCTAATCTTCTTAAGCCTTCGTAACTGCTTCTATAGCAACATTATCTCAAACAGTTCTATAAATTAATATTTTAACAAAATCCTCAAAAAAAATTTAGTTTTTTTCATAGGTTTACAAATTTTACTTTTTTCGTTTATGTGTTGCGTGTGTTACTAAATCACTGACGAGGGTAGAGAGAAAAAAAAAAGTTCTTAGCTTTGGAGGAATCTGGAAGTGATCCAAAACACTGGCTTATTCCACTCCTCTTATTTAGGGTTTCTCTCTAATACTTCTGAACTTGCTTTCTCTTTTTCTTTAACGAGATTTAAGTCACTGGATCTCATGATTTCGGTGGAGTAAATTTGGGGATAACTCACAAAAAGCCAACTTTTATTGATATTCTGAAATTTTTGGAATTTTGGTGTGTGGGGCTTGTTCCTAAAGTTTTGCCTTTGTGGGTTTTCATAATTTCATGTTCTGTATAATTAGCCAGGGGTTTCACTTAGATTCCAATTTGAGTCACTCCCAAGATTTTGATTTGGTTAAGCTTTTAAAGAACGTTTCTTTCGAATGTTTTATATTAGAAAGCTTCAATTTTTAACTTGATAGTAACAAAATTTGGTTGCTTCTTTGTGTTTTACAGGTTGAATTGTTAGTTAATAGATGGCGACACTTCAGGATATTGGTGTATCAGCTGGGATAAACATTCTCAGTGCCTTTGTTTTCTTCATCATCTTTGCGATTTTGAGGCTTCAGCCTTTCAATGATAGAGTTTACTTCTCAAAATGGTATCTCAAGGGGTTAAGAAGCAGCCCTGCGAGTGGTGGCGCCTTTGCGCAGCGCTTTGTGAACCTGGACTTCAGGTCTTATATGAGGTTCTTGAATTGGATGCCAGAGGCTTTGAAGATGCCTGAGCCTGAGCTGATTGATCATGCTGGTTTGGATTCAGTTGTGTATCTCCGGATTTACTGGCTGGGGTAAAGTTTTGAGCTTTGTAGATTTATGGTTTATGGGTTTGTATTGGTTGATTTGGTCTTAGTTGAATCTAATTGACAAGCAAAAGGGTCACTATGTTATATGCTATTTTTGGTAGTAGGAAGAGTAAATATAAACATATCTCTTTTGTTTGTTTTTTTATGAGCACAGGCTTAAGATCTTTGCTCCAATAGCAGTGCTTGCTTGGGCAGTTCTTGTGCCAGTCAACTGGACAAATAACACATTGGAGATGGCTAAGCAGCTAAGGAATGTAACTTCGAGCGACATTGACAAACTCTCTGTTTCAAATATTCCAGAGTATTCAATGAGGTGCGTTAGACCTTACCATCTTGAGTCTTTTATGTTTCCATCTGTCACAAATGGTGTAGCAGGTAAAGATTTGAGCTACATTGTATGTTTTGCCAGGTTTTGGACTCATATAGTAATGGCTTATGCCTTTACCATCTGGACTTGTTATGTGTTGATGAAAGAATATGAGACAATAGCTAACATGAGGCTCCAGTTTGTTGCATCAGAAGCTCGTCGACCTGACCAGTTCACTGTAAGACTCCTTTCTTTCCCTTGGTTGAAACATTACACGCTGAACAGTCGTGGCCAGCGATCTAATATTTTGGGATTTGTGATAGGTTCTGGTTAGGAATGTACCTCCGGACGCAGATGAATCTGTAAGTGAACTGGTGGAGCATTTTTTCCTGGTCAATCATCCTGATCACTACCTGACACATCAGGCAAGTTCCTTAGAAGCCTGAAATTTGAAACCTTTAAGTTTTCTTTGAATTATGCTCTTCTTGAGATGTAAGAACAACATTAACATTGTCAGACTATGATACTCTTCCTGAGTTCTTACTTTCATTGATTTTGTTTGGATACAATATGTAGGTTGTATGCAATGCAAACAAGCTTGCCGATTTGGTGAAAAAGAAGAAAAAGCTGCAGAATTGGCTTGATTACTACCAGCTCAAATACGCTAGGAAAAACTCTCAGAGAATTATGGTGAAGGTACTTCAGTTAATCCCAATCTTGGTATTTTTTTGTTTGTGTTCTGTTAAACTGACCCATTTCATGCTTTTTCATCCACCAACCAGCTTGGCTTTCTTGGGCTATGGGGACAAAAAGTAGATGCCATTGAACATTACATTGCTGAAATTGACAAAATATCAAAAGAGATCAGTAAAGAAAGAGAGGAGGTGGTGAATGATCCCAAGTCCATTATGCCAGCATGCGTTTGTCTCCTTTAAAACCCGATGGGCTGCTGCTGTTTGTGCTCAGACTCAACAGACCCGAAACCCAACTCAAGTGGCTGACCGAGTGGGCTCCAGAACCGCGTGATGTGTTTTGGTCAAATCTTGCTATTCCATATGTTTCTCTGACAGTAAGGAGGTTAATCATGCATGTTGCCTTCTTCTTCTAACCTTCTTCTTCATTATCCCCATCGCGTTTGTTCAATCTCTTGCTACCATTGAAGGGATTGTGAAAGTTGCTCCGTTCTTGAAGGTTATTGTAGAGGAGTGAGTTTTTTTCTTCACATTCTCTCTTCTTGACATCAGATAAACTGAAAGCATTACTAATATTGGCCTGACTGGTTTGGTTTAATGCAGTAAATTCATGAAATCGGTGATACAAGGTTTTCTACCGGGTATTGCACTGAAGATTTTCCTCGCCTTTCTGCCATCCATTTTGATGGTCATGTCTAAATTTGAAGGCTTCACATCAATCTCATCTTTAGAGAGACGAGCAGCGTTTCGATATTACATCTTCAACTTAGTGAACGTCTTTCTTGCAAGTGTTATCACTGGAGCTGCGTTTGAACAGCTAAACTCTTTCCTCAATCAATCCCCAAACCAAATCCCCAAAACCATTGGTGTAGGCCATACCGATGAAAGCAACTTTCTTCATCACGTATATAATGGTTGATGGTTGGGCAGGAGTTGCAGGAGAGATTTTAATGCTGAAACCACTGATTATGTTCCATCTCAAAAACGCCTTCTTGGTCAAGACAGAGAAAGACAGGGAAGAAGCAATGGACCCGGGAAGCATCGGTTTTAACACGGGCGAGCCTCGGATACAGCTCTACTTCCTTCTCGGTCTTGTCTACGCTCCCGTGACACCGATGCTTCTTCCTTTTATCTTGGTCTTCTTCGCCCTTGCTTACATTGTGTATCGCCACCAAGTAAGCTTCTTTTTCCTTCCTCAATTGGGTGGAATCGGTTCTAAAGCAGATTCTTGACTATCTTTTTGTTTTTTTCAGATCATAAACGTATACAACCAAGAATACGAGAGTGCTGCAGCGTTTTGGCCAGACGTTCATGGACGAGTCATAGCGGCATTGGTAATATCACAGTTACTTCTGATGGGTCTATTGGGAACAAAGCACGCTGCATTAGCTGCACCTTTTCTCATTGCTTTGCCTGTGCTTACCATCGGTTTCCACCACTTCTGCAAAGGTCGTTATGAGCCAGCCTTCATCAGATACCCTTTACAGGTTTGTTGTTTCTTCTTCTAACAACCATTTCTCATTTTATATGTTCAATATGAATCATTCTTGTATTTGTGTCCCTTGTGTTACAGGAAGCAATGATGAAAGATACATTGGAAAGCGCAAGAGAACCAAACCTAAACCTTAAAGGCTACTTGCAAAATGCTTACATTCATCCGGTTTTCAAAGGCGATGAAGACGATGATGACATTGATGACAAGCTCAGGAAGTTTGAGGATGAAGCCATCATTGTCCCCACCAAACGTCAGTCGCGGAGAAATACTCCGGCTCCTAGCAGAATCAGTGGGGAAGATTCGCCGTCTTTGCCCTTTAGTGGTAAACTAGTCTAAGAGAAGCTTTGCTCATGATCAAAAGAATATATGTACATAGATAGAGTAAGAGAAGCCTACCAAAATGAGAATATGTGGCCAAGATTTGTGATGTTGATATTATTAAAAGATTTTGTCTTGTGGCGTGGTGATTCCTAAATTTCGGGGTCGTTTTATAAGAAATCGATTTTATTGTGGTTTTATTTATGATTTTAGATCAATTGTCTTAACTATATGATTCAAATTTGGTTTAAATTGTTGGTTCGGTTAGGCTTTAATTTGGATTCTCATTTGAAAAAAATTGGCTCCTAAGAACATCCATATATCTTTTATCTTTCTTTTTGTTAGCAATTTAGATAGCAAATCCTTTAATAAATAAATAAAAAACTATTCAAGTATTCTATTTCTATCATTGAATAAATATGTTAAATATAAATCTGTAAGTTTCCAAATCGCTTAGATTCTGTAACTATTATCAATAAATTTTGTATAGGAAGTTAGGAACTAATACATCATAAACAATTTGCGTCAGATCTACTTTAATTTACACTAAAGTTCATTTTTCAAAATTAAATTATCGATTACCTTCCAAAGCTAATTAAAGATACCTATTTTTAAAAAAGGTCAAAGATTACCTTCCAAAATTAAGTAATACTTTTTTGACAAAAAATAAATATTTAAGTAATTATCTCTGTTTACCAAAACATTTTGTTGAATATGTGTGTGTATATATATGGTGACAGAAAAATAATGTGCATATTGTCCATTGAAAACGAGGGAGGAACAAGAGTGAAAAAGATAATTATCTATCACAAAAGAGTGACAAATACAAAATTCACCACAACAAGAATCATGAGATCTGCTACTTTGTTGTTGGTTTCTTGTGTTCTTATGTCTTTCATTTTGGGCCATGTTAAAGGTAAAATCTAATAACCCTAATTTTTGTCAACTGCGAAATATGTTGTTTTCATAAACAATGGATTCTACACCATGGTCTAATATTGATCTTTACATTATCAATTACTAAGATCTTTAAAATTTAAGAATTCTTTTGGTTGATATTAAATAATAGAAGTGGAAGCTGCGTTGAATCCAATGGACCAATGTGGCCGGAAGGATATATTTTTGGGAGGATGTGGCAGCAACGGAAACAAAACATGCATAAACGACTTTGTTAAGAAAGGAGGTGCAAGCAATAAACCTAGTAGTTGCGAGTGTGACAACTTTGGCGAAGAACATTTATGTCGATGTTATTTTCCTTGCTAGTTTTTTTTGCTATATTTCAATAAACGAAATATAGAATGGATAATAATGTAACATTAAGGTTTAAGGAGTTTCTTGTGATGTGAAACTTTGAATCTTTTTTAGATGTTGGAAGAATTGTAATGAAGAAAACAGTCGCAAACTTAAATACCTAAAAGTTTCGCTTCCTTAATTAGCTTGACTCACCCAGCCAGAGCTAGTTTCGTTTCCTTAAAAACTTTATATCACTCTCTTAGGTTTGAATCGATTCTAAAACAACATATCTTGATTTTCTTGAAGCAAAGATATTATATTTCTTTGTATCGGATGGTTTAAGATGGTCTTGCCATCTCAACAAAAAGATAAGTCTAAACGTTACTTAGTTATTTGGAATTTAATCAAGATTAAAATAGAAGAAGATAATGTATTTATTAGCTGGCTTTGTCTTAATTCACCAATCACCAACCGCGATCTCGAGATATGCTTTCCATTAATACAATTTGCAAATAATTTCATATTCTTACGAATCATTCGAAAAAAGTAGACCACAAGACAAAAATAAAGGTAGGCTGTTACAACCTTTACACCTATTTTGACAATAGATTAGAGACGAGCTCGATTATGAACCGTACACTAAAAAAATATTTATTGTAGAATTATGGTTATAAAATTAACTATATAATCGTTAATTTGCATGCAGAGATAATTACATGAAGAGAAGGTAGGAAGAACAAGAGAGTCTCTCTCTCTCTCTCTCATATCCACTTCATAGTAAGTTCATAATCCATAACTCACCATGGACAAGACATCATTGTTCTCCATTCACGAAGGAAAGCAGATTCGATGCAAAGCAGCAATATCTAGGAAACCAGGAGAAGCATTGGTGATAGAAGAGATCCATGTGGATCCACCTCAAGCTTATGAAGTTAGGATTAAGATCCTATGTACATCTTTATGTCACACCTGATGTTTCTTTTTGGAAAGTAGAAAGTGTAAGTTTTATACTTATCTAACACGTAATCTATCTTTCAAAACTTGATTATTTTTTCATTAATTAGCCTTTTGAATTTTTCAGGGACCGCTTGTAAGGTTTCCTATGATTCTAGGACATGAAGCAGTCGGGTAAATCTTCTTCACATACTTGTTTTACTTTCATTTCTTTTTTCAAGAATATGCCTAATTACTTTGTTTTTTTTCGTTATATAGTGTGATCGAGAGTATTGGTGAACATGTGAATGGATTTCAACAAGGCGATGTCGTTTTGCCAGTGTTTCACCCTCATTGTGAAGAATGTAGAGACTGCAAATCCTCAAGGAGCAACTGGTGTGCAAGATTTGCCGATGATTTCGCATCAAACACAAGACGATATGGAATGACTTCTAGATTCAAAGACTCTTCGGGAGAAGATATTAACCATTTTCTCTTTGTCTCAAGTTTTTCTGAATATACCGTCGTAGATATCGCACATCTCGTCAAAATGTCTCCTGATATTCCGGTTGATAAAGCGGCATTGCTCAGCTGCGGTGTTTCCACAGGTTTCTTCAACATTTGTTGCGTAGAGAGACCAAGGGTGACATGAAACAACTTTTGGGGGTTAAAACATAAAAAGAGTAGAAATCAAGGGTTAGATGGTTATTAATAATAGTTCAAACAATTGGACATGGCCTTATGGTGTGTTGTATCACGTGGATCAGGAATTGGAGCAGCTTGGAAAGTGGCTAACGTGGAAAAAGGCTCCACTGTTGCAGTTTTTGGCCTTGGTGCTGTTGGACTTGCGGTATCAATATTGTGTCACTCAAATTAATGAATTTATATACATTAGTTTTTTTTTTGCTAGTAATAATAGTTAAATGATTTGGTAACAGGTTGCAGAAGGAGCCAGGCTACGTGGAGCCGGCAGGATCATTGGTGTTGATCTCAATCCTGAAAAATTCGAGCTAGGTAAAGTTGTGTTGTATTTTCAATTGAATATATATTTTGTCTTTTAAAGTCGCTATCTGTTTTGGCTTATTCTGATCACGTTGGGTTTGGTATTATATCTAACAAAACACTAAAAACTACTACTAGTTGTAGTTGGTGATGGTCTAACAAATGGTCTATCGGTCCAGGTTGTATTATGTATTTGTCAAAATAATTAAATCCGAATGTCGTTCTTTAGTCTTTTGTTTTGTTATAACTTATAAATAACATGTCCACTGAATATGCATATGTTTGCAAACTATATAGTAACATGATTGATATTCGTTACTACGTCAACACTCCATTTCAAATCCTTGAAAAGAAAAAAAAAACCTAAAATAATAAAATATCATTTGTATAAAGACACTTAGATAAACGAATAATATTCTTACATTGAAAAGCAAAAACATTGTTTAAAATAAAATCTAAAATTTTTGATAAACTATTACTTATATAAAAGGAAAAATAATCTTCATCATGTATACATAAACTTAATTATGACTATCTACATTGAATTTGAATAGGTAAAAAATTTGGTTTCACGGATTTCATCAATCCTACATTGTGTGGAGAAAAGAAGATTAGCGAGGTATGTTATTAAATATCTTACACTATTTCATATAAAATTCTTAGATTTACATCAGAATTATATAAACTTTCGTTGTAATTGATCATTAATTTATCCGTAAGCGAATTAATTTATTTATTTTATGGCTAATTTTGAAAAAGGTGATTCAAGAAATGACAGGAGGAGGAGTTGATTATAGCTTCGAATGCGTTGGTTTACCTTCTTTATTGACCGAGGCTTTCAACAGCACCCGCACGGTACACTTATACCGGATCTTTTGGTTTCAAAATCATTTCAAATTTTCAATGGTTAACCAAAATTGATTAACTATGTCTTTAAGAATTTATCAATAAAATCAACTGTCTTTAAGACTAACAATTATTATATAAATAAAACAGGGTTCAGGAAAAACGGTAATGTTGGGGATAGATAAGCATCTAACGCCAATAAGTTTGGGTAGCCTTGATCTTCTTAGAGGCAGACATGTTTGTGGAAGCTTGTTTGGTGGTCTTAAACCCAAACTGGATATTCCGATTCTCGTTGATCATTACTTAAAAAAGGTATTTACATTATTAATCTATCTATTTAGGTTACAATTTTTGGTTATTTAAAAGTATTTTACTTATTTCCAACTTTGTATGTTAATTTTTTCATTGTAGGAGCTTAATCTGGATAGTTTCATAACGCATGAACTGAAATTTGAGGAAATCAACAAAGCTTTCGATTTATTAGTACAAGGAAAGTCTCTCCGCTGCATTCTATGGATGAACAAGTAAAGTGATTAATTATGTTGAAAAAGTATATATATTGAAAAAGTGATGAATTATTATTCTTTTCTACTTTCCGATGTTTGAACGTGTTTTTGCTTATTTTAATAATATGAAATGTATCCGTCTGTTTTATACAAGTGAAAGTGTCTCATTCAGTTTTTCACAATTAAAAATATTTTTTTAAAAAAAAACAGTGGATGACTATCATTTCTCACTTGAGAGACTTTGAGAATCCTTTTTAAACATTTTTTGTAGGACACATGTCTCTTCATAAATGATTCAAATTTTATTATTATAAATCAAATCCACAATAGTTCAAAAAATTAACAAATTAATTAGTTTATATTTTTAAAAATCATAAAATAAAATTATCTAATTCACCAGAAACTTTTTATATTTGACCAACAATATATATTATTATATTTTTTGGACAGCTTTTTGACCAACATGAATTTTTTTTTTTTGGTCAAGTCAAAGGAAATTTAAAGATTACCTTCCAAAACTAATTAAAAGTTACCCATTAGTTTTCTTTACGTTATAAATCGTTGAAGAAGAATTGGTCAATGGTCATTGAGTGAGTACTGGGTACATACTTTCTAAATCGTGTTCATATTAAAGCCCTTTAACAAAAAAAATAAAAAATCGTGTTCATATTTATATACACACATACATCAACTTGTATCATCAGCCACTACTAAGAAACAAGAGAAGAAAGATCATTTCAATTGGAAAATACAAAATTCACACAATAAGAATCATGAGATCTGCTACTTTAGTTTTGGTTTCCTGTGTTCTCATGTCTTTCATTTTGAGCCATGTGAAAGGTAATACGTTTTTTATTTCTGCTTTGCTTTTTACTCCTAAAATAAAAAAATCTAATTTTGCCAATCACAAAAGATGTTTGATATAACAATTGTTGCAATTTCAGTAACTAGGATATTTCGTTCAAAAATTTAACAATTCTTGTGGTTGATATAAAAATATAGAAGTGGAAGCTGGATTGGATCCCATGGCGGCTAACCTACGCGTCCGGAAGGATATATTTATCGGGGGATGCGGCGGCGACGGAAACAAAACATGCATGAAAGACTTTGTTAAGAAAGGAGGTGTGATGAATAAACCTATTAGTTGCGAGTGTGATGACCTTGGCTACGAACATTTATGCCGGTGTAATTTTTCTTGATGTAGTTTTTCTTCATATCCTTTATTAAATCTCAAAAAAAAAACATAGAAGAAAATTGTTTGTTTTGGTGTGTAATAATCTTAAAAGGCCTTAAAGCCTCGTTTCCGACATTTGTACAATTTCCTTTCTTTATCTATGGTTATCAGAACTTCTCGGTGCTTTGATCAAAAAAAAAAAAAAAAAAAAAAAAAAAAAAATCAGAACTTGTCGGTGTGTGTTTCTTTTGAGTCCACGATGACTAATTGTGATACAGACAAGTGTTTCTATTCTCTCTTGTGTCTACAAACTTATTTCCACAAAATCATGGAATAAAACAGAGACATGGAACTGATTTTGTCTCTGTTTACCACTTTTCTGCTTTTGGCATTGTCTGGGAGATGCAGCGACAAGAACGACTTCCCCGAGGGCTTCACTTTCGGATCCGCCACTTCTGCTTATCAGGTTCGTTGGAATTTGATTTTTTGCAACTTCTAGGGTTCTTTCATTTATCTGAAGAAGAAATGTTTGGTTTTTGAAAGTGGGAAGGAGCTTTTGGTGAAGATGGACGAAAACCTAGCGTCTGGGATACTTTCCTTCACTCTCGTGATAAGCTTTTCTTTTGTTATGATTTTAGTTGAATGATAATGAAGATCAGTCTAGTCTTAGTCAAATTGATGTTCAACAATTATCTTTTCTAAAATTGATAGGTAACCTAAGTAACGGAGACATAGCATGTGATGGGTACCATAAGTACAAGGTTAGCTTATTCACCAAGAAAACTCTTAAAAGAGTTTATTACATCAACATTGGCTTTGTTATCACATCAAAGATTTTGCTTTTGCATATGTAGGAGGATGTGCAGCTCATGGTGGAAACTGGCTTAGATGCCTTCAGATTCTCCATTTCTTGGTCTAGGCTTATACCAAGTTAGTCTTCTTAAACGCGCTTAATGTTTTTATGCCAGAACTTTACTTGATGACGAGCTTTTATCTCATTTAGATGGAAGAGGTCCTGTTAATCCCAAGGGTCTACAGTTCTATAAGAACTTCATTCAAGAACTTGTAAGCCATGGTGAGACAACTCTTGGATACCAAAATTTTCTGTTGTGTTGAGTTTGGACTTAAGTAGACTTAATTACTACAGGAATTGAACCACATGTGACACTGTTCCACTACGATCATCCTCAGTATCTTGAAGATGACTATGGAGGATGGATCAACCGCAAAATCATGTTAGGCTAAATAGCCTCATTTACTCAAATATTCTTTTCATATTCCGTAATGTAAAAAAATAATGGTTGATATAATTCTTGTTATTGTAGCCAAGACTTTACTGCTTATGCAGATGTTTGCTTCAGAGAGTTTGGGCATCACGTTAAATTCTGGACCACGATCAACGAGGCTAATGTATTCACTATTGGAGGATACAATGATGGGATCACACCACCTGGCCGTTGCTCCTCACCGGGTAGAAACTGCTCATCAGGAAACTCTTCAACTGAACCATATATCGTAGGCCATAACTTGCTGCTTGCGCACGCCTCTGCTTCACGACTATATAAGCAAAAGTACAAGGTATACATTTTTATGTATTTTACAAATCCTCTCTTGAATGTGTGAGTACGAGCAACATATTGTATATAATGTTCAGGATATGCAAGGAGGTTCTCTAGGCTTTAGCTTATTCGCACTAGCCACTAGGGTTTACATCTTCTACAAGCTCCAAGGATGATGACATTGCAATTCAAAGAGCCAAAGATTTCTACTTCGGCTGGTGAGTCAGGCAGAAACATAGTTTCCACTTTCCAAATTGCAAAACATATCCAAGGTTCTAAGCTGAAAACAGAACACTCTGTTCTTTAAAAATTAGGATGCTTGAGCCTCTTATATTCGGAGACTATCCCGAAGAAATGAAAAGAACTGTTGGATCAAGACTGCCAGTTTTCTCAAAGGGAGAATCAGAACAAGTTAAAGGCTCATCTGATTTCGTAGGAATCATTCACTATCTTGCAGCTTCGGTCACAAGCATCAAAATCAAACCTTCTATTTCAGGAAACCCGGATTTTTATTCAGACATGGGTGTATCTATGACGTGTAGGATAATCAACCTCTTATCTTTTGAATAACAAATACAAAGTCTCTGCTTCTTTTTTTTCTTCTTGATATCTTTTGTTTTTGTTTTACTGCTTGGGACTTGGGAGGGACCTTGGGAATTTTTCGGCTTTCGAGGTAAGATTTCACGGCTACTAAATTCAGATGCAAAACTCATAATATTCCTTATACCTTAATTCAAGGCTACTTATGTGTTTCTTAGTTGTTTTGTGTTTGTTTGGAAAAGTATGGTGTTGCTCCATGGGCTATGGAAAGTGTCCTTGAGTATATAAAGCAGAGCTATGGCAATCCTCCTATATACATTCTTGAAAATGGTCTCTCTCTCTCTCTCTCTCACTCTTTCTGATCTCTCTTTCTTGCTTGTAACTTAGTCTGCTTAATTCTCTTGCCAATGCAAACGAATAGGTACACCGATGAAGCAAGATTTCCAGCTGCAACAAAAGGACACACCAAGGATTGAGTACTTACATGCTTATATTGCTGCTGTGCTCAAATCCATAAGGTAAGTAAAATTTCTTATTGTATCTTCTTCTTCTCTTCTCTTGTCCATGTACTAAAGAAAATGATTATACTACGTGTAGGAATGGATCAGACACGAGAGGTTACTTCGTATGGTCATTTATGGATTTATATGAGTTAGTGAAGGGATACGAGTTTAGTTTTGGATTATACTCTGTCAATTTCAGTGATCCTCATCGTAAGAGATCTCCCAAACTCTCTGCTCATTGGTACTCTGCTTTTCTCAAAGGCAACAACACTTTTCTTGGTTCTCAAGGCATCATGCAGATGCAGAGAAACTCGTCTTCTTCAGCTTCTTCGTAGTATAATGTTGCATTTAGATACTCTCATGAATCTGATTCCTTCAGTTATGAGAGTTATGAAAAACATCAGCCTCTCTGTTTTACTGTGTTTGAACTGCTTGCCGTTTTAATGTATATCATCCGAATTTTATTTTTCCCTTAAACGGCATGATTTCCTTAAGCCCATGATATAGTGGGATTTTTTTTTAAACACTTGTGACATGAGTTCCATATTTCAACACACCACTAGCTCATTCGCTTTAATTTAGGTTTGGTATGGTTTTATATAATTTCGGCTAGATATCGGTTCGGTTTTTGTTTAAAAGAAAACTCATAAATATCAAGCATAATAAATGGACTGTTTGAAGTAAAAGAAACAAAAAGATAGTAATGGATTGGTACACGTACGTAAAACACCCCACCAAATAAACATTAGACAAATTAATGTAATTAATACTATTAATTAAACGAAATACATTAAGACTTTGGATTTTTCCATCCAAGCAAGTCGGCTAGAGAAATGTTCGTGGGGAAGCACGTACATGGATCTTGTGCAACAACACCAAAGTCTCACCAATACAACTTTGATCTTTAGGCCAATATTATGACAAGATCGTGTTTACCACACCTTCTAATCTTTCCGACACAATCTCTCATCTAAACACTCCCTTAAGTACTTGCCCATCTTTTCTCTTTTCTTAGTATCCCTACTGAAACCTTAAACCCACCCGACCATGGCTCTTTTCACCGTTTCTTGCCTCCTCGTGGCACTAGTCTTATGTCAGTCCTTGGTCCATGCCGTAAATAATGGTTATTACGGATATACCCCCACGGTTGCCAACTACCTCCCCGAGAAACCTCAGAACATCATGAATCCGGTGGACTCCTGTTGGCGGCTCAAGTCTGACTGGGCTGTCAATCGTAAAGACCTAGCGAATTGCGTGGTTGGGTTTGGTTCATCTACCTTGGGCGGCAAGAAAGGTAAGTTATATGTTGTCACAAACCCTAACGACAATGCACAAAACCCTCAACCAGGTTCTTTGCGGTACGGCGTGATCCAAGCCAAGCCATTGTGGATCACTTTCGCTAAGGATATGGTCATAACCCTAGAGAATGAGCTCATGGTCAATAGCTATAAGACCATTGATGGGAGAGGGGCAAAAGTGGAAATTGCATACGGACCATGCATTACGATACAAGACGTGACGAACGTAATCGTGCACGGGATCAGTATCCATGACTGCAAACCAGGGAGGTACGGAATGGTGAGGAGCAGCCCGACGCATGTTGGTCACCGTAAGGGATCGGACGGTGATGCGATCGCTATTTTTGGTTCGTCGAATATTTGGATCGATCATTGTTACCTAGCGCGTTGCACGGACGGACTCATCGATGTGATCCATGCTTCCACAGGGATCACTATTTCCAACAACTATTTCACTCAGCACGACAAAGTCAGTTTCAATTTTATAAAATCATTAATATTATAATGTTTCAAGCAATTAATATCACATTTTGATATTTGTTGTTATGTATGTATAGGTGATGTTGCTTGGACATAACGATGATTTTGTCCAAGATGTGAACATGAAAGTGACCGTGGCATTCAATCATTTTGGACCAGGACTTGTGGAGAGAATGCCAAGGTAATTAGAAATAAAATAACTATTAAGGATTTTTAATGCAGAATTAGACATGTAAAAATGTAAATTATGTAAAAAAAGTGTGGTGGGTGCAGGGTAAGACGAGGGTACGCTCATGTAGCAAACAATAGATACGATAAATGGATAATGTATGCAATTGGTGGCAGCGCCGATCCCACCATTTTCAGTGAAGGCAACTATTTCATTGCCTCTGATAAATCTAACAGCAAAGAGGTAATTTAATTTTATCCTCCTAAGTCAATATTATAATTACACATATACCCATCGGATCTATACATGTAGGCTAGTGATCATTGATATTATTGTTGTTATTGTATCACCATCTATATTCAACAAACCAGTATATTGCATCTTTTGACAAAGAAAAAAGATAGATTCGAAATTTGACTATCAATATTGTTTTACCTAGAAAAAAAAAGAGAGAGAGTCATGTTGGTCTTTTAAGCCAAAAGTAGTTTTGGACAGTTTGGTCCGGTGGACCCAAGATCATATATTATAGATTAATTTCTAAATTGTTTCTAAACAAGAATAAGTTTAGCTGAAAAACAAGAACGGTAAGTACGAATACTTTAGTCTGAGTTAGGTTGAAATTCTATATTTTATATTGTAGTAATTGTTTGAACGATTGAGCACCTATTAATTACCAATTTGGATTACATTTTTTTTTTTATCCTTTTTATTGGTTATAGATCGGGATTTGTCGATACAAAGATGAAAAAAAAAAAAAAAAAAAAAGAAAGAAAGGACTAATTGAACATGATATTATTCCACCACTACCCAAATTTTATCCGCTGATTTTTCCGAAAATAAATGACGGTAGCTAACCATCCGACGTTTACACGTCTGACTAATTATCTAAACGTCCGGTTCTGGTTATATATAATGATTAATGTCTAAAGATCATTATGCACCTATGATTAATTCATGAAATAAAATACTAAGCATAATTAAAATAAACAGGTGACGAAGAGAGAAGTAAAAGGAGGCTGGAACAATTGGAGATGGAGAACTTCAAAAGATGTTTTCAAGAACGGAGCTTACTTCGTACCTTCTGGTTATGGCAGCATTTCGCTACCGTATAGTTCTGCTCAGCGATTCACAGTAGCTCCGGGAAACTTGGTTCCTTCTTTAACCGCAGACGCTGGCCCTCTAAACTGCAACCGCAACGGCCCTTGTTATTAGTATACATGATCTTTTCACGAGATTCATCTAATTTCTGGTATAGCACGTTACTTTTCGTTTTTTACTTAGTTGTGCTCGATCTATATATGTTTTGGTCTGGATTTGATACACATGGAGCACTGGTGCACTGGTTATGAAAGATGAGAAACAACAAGAGTTTGTAAGAAAAAAATGCATATTTTGTTTATTTTGTGTATATATATTTACATATTTTATATTTATTTGCAAGAAAAGTTTTTTAACAATGGCTCTTAGTAAATTTTTAGTATTAAAATCTTAAGATTTACCTCTTACAAACATGTTTTGGCTCTTAGCTAAGAAACTTTTCTTACCAATCTTACCATTTGCCATTTAATTAAATACTTTTAATACTTAAGATTTACCTAAGATTTGGCTAAGAGCCTACCAATAATCATGGTCTTATCAATTGGACTGATCCGACTCTTATGTACTTACCAATTTACCAGCGTTATTTTTTGGCATGGTTCGACCTAAACTATTTTTCCATACTCTATTTGCGTTTTCTCCGCAACTTGATTTATTGATTGTTTTTGGCCAGTCTAGCCTTCTTTTATAATCCATACCATATTAGGAATGTATCCTAACTTAACCCAAAAGTTATCTCAAGAGTTAAGGATTGCCACATCCTAAATATATTGCTCAAAGATCTTAATCCCAAGCAATGTGGAACCATTCTAATAATTAGAAACTACAATATAAGATTGGGTACATGGGACAAAAAATATTAAAACGTACGATCGGCGGATCAAGGAATATACATTTTATTACCAATCATGGTCAGAGAAGTAGAAAGCAAAGAAAGTAGGATTAAAAACCTCTCATTTCTCCAATCATCTTCCATTGACATGTTTAACAACCATAAAACAAAACGAGTCATCATTCATGTATCCTAAACATCCTTTCCTTTACTAATTAAGTAAAACCCAGGAAAATAGGATTGGTCCGAGAAACTCCATAAAATCATAAGTACAAAAATAAATTGACTAAAACGTGTTGGGAGATCGACCAGAACCGATAGAGACTATTACCGAGATTACAAACGAAGGTCATAATTCGATTATATATATGAAAATCAGTGATATTTTTTTAATATTTTAGTTTAAAAAAATTAAGGTTACTTCAATCTCTCGCAGGCCTGTCACCTAATCTCCACTGCGAAATCCTTTGTTAAAAGGCTTGCTGTGGATGCTAATCCATTTCCAGGGCACAAGGGAAAAGCGTTGGCGAACATGATAAGCAGTGCTAATTGTATTTATTTTATACTTTTGTTTTTATCAGAGCCACTAATCATAACGTTTTCGTTCTTTAGTACTCAGTTACTTAGTAAAAAAAAGTGTTTCTGAGCAGCTTGTTTTGCTATGGGGTATTCAGTTCTTGTCATAAAACTTAATTACATTTATTTGTGAATATTTTAGTTTAAAAAACTAATATTTATTTGTGAATATTTTATTTCTGATATCGATAGACTTTGACTTTGGTTGATTATGATTCATGAAGTGTGGACTATTAACATGACAAACAAAAACTGAAGACTTTTAAGTTTTCTTTTTTATAATCTAAATATAATTGCAAGCTCATTCCAGCCCCTCTCTTATGTTTCTATCTAATTTTTTTTTTTTTGTCAATGTTTCTATCTAATTTTATTAGTGTTTTTAGTTTTACAAAGAAATGTTCTTACATATTAGAAAACTATAATTTTATTATTTGTGAACTGTTAGTTCTAACTTTATTTATACTCAAATTCAACCTGGTTCCAAATTCTCCATGTTTATTTCATATAAATTCCGCCTCAGTGCTTCAGTTTTCTATTTGCTATTATAGTCAATTAAAACTTCAAACTAAATGATGAAATTCAATTTTTTGAAATTTTGAAGTGTTATTCTTTTCACAATAACAAAAGTTAGGCCTAAGATCGGCATTTATTTCTTGTTTTATGTCAACAAGATCGGCACTTTTTCCTTTCTTTTTTTTTTCTTTTTTTTTTCAAGATTGGCACTTATAATGGGGGTATAAAGTATTGAACGAATTATAGTTTAACTCTAAATTATTTCATATGTTTTTTTAATTTTCAGTATTAGGGTATTTAGTACACACTCGATTGACTAAGTATCTAAGTCTAGTATCTGAAGATGCACGTTAGCTTATTGCACCCTAGATGACGTATAAGCTTTGCACAAAAAAAAAAAAAGAAAAAAAGAAAAAAAGATGACGTATAAGCTAGAGAATCAAACACGCATACTTGTGTATATACGGACAAGTGCCAAGTACCTCATTGGTCAATGCAGGTGCAGCTGCAATTTCATTAATAAAAAAGCTTTCATTAATGTAGTTTTATTTGTTCTGTTATGTGATACATTTTATATTCTCGGTCAGTTTGTTTTTCTTTTCTCTTTTGGATAATTTCAAAGTATATAATATGGATTTTATTAAGTATAAATAAAAACTATAAATTTTCACCAATTAGTTGTGTACTTTTATGTATAAATTTTGCCCCAAAAAAAAGTTGTATGTATAAAATATGTAATCTAACAGTATATTTTCTAAAGATAATTAAGTCACGCGCGCATGAATATTTTCGAATTTGGATGTGGATTGTGATACAACATCAACAATTATTTATATACCACCAGATATATTACATGTCTCAGTATGGTGTTGGATAATTATTTGTTTTTAATTTTATATATTAATCAAATTAAATATAAATAAACATACTGTATAAAAGAATAGTATTTGTATCTTTAACAAAAAAGAATAGTATTTGTATACTAGTTATAATGACTTAAAACAAGTTGTGGACGCATTGTTTTTCTATCAAAATTTGGATAAAACAAGTTGTGGACGCGTTCATTTTCTATCAAAATTTGGACTATTTCTCAATTGTGTATGTCATATTGATATTTTTCTGTATTTTAATTATATCAAAGAGACTGAATGGGTTGATTTTCACTCAATTCAACTTCTCATTTAAAAAATAAAAAAGTTGGTACGCCATTATTGTAAGATAGCGAAACATGCTATTAATTTACAAGAAATTCGTAATATTGTATAGCAGCAAAAGAAGACTTGGAACCTCTGATGTCGTCGAGATAGTAATATGGGTCGTATGAACAATTTTAAAATCAGTGTAAGTAATTAACTTTGTAATGTTTCGTGTTAAACATATATATTAAGAAGAAAACTCACAACTAATCTCTCTAATTACTATGTAGTTTGAAAAAAATATTTTAGTAACTTTAAGTAATTAACATATATATATATATATATATATATATATATATATATATATATATATATATAATGATTTGTGGTTCAAAAGAGGATTAGTATTAAATTGATGATATTGATACTTAATCATTGCCTCTATCTCTTATTTTATGTTTTAAATTTTCAATACCTATGATGAATTCCTATTAACAAATGCTTGTTTAGTTTTATTTGAAGTAAAACGTCTCGTTTCTCTTTAGAGCAGATTTTTGGAAAATAGACATTTTTTGTGATTAAATGATTAAACAAACATTGTGGTAAATGATTTTTTATAATAATTACGAAAAATCCTTTAAATGTGCCATTTATGAGATATGTTCTATGATAAATCCCAGTCATTGCCTTCCTGATTAAAACCAAAATTTTCGGAGGTAAAATATAACTTCGACGTAGTGTATAATTAATCTCCATACTTCTCAAGTTACTGGTGGATGGATTATCCGCGACCACCAAAGCATCCATTTGGCTTGGGGTTTACTTCAACTCAACCATGCGTCCTCACTTTTAAAAGGTGAAACAAAAGCTTTGTTAGCGGCTATGCAACAAACTTGGATACTGAGATTTTAAGACGATTTGCTTTGAAGGAGATTGTGAAACTCTCATAAATTTGATTAATGTATCTACTTTTCATAGTGTGATGGGAAACATCCTCCTTGATAATATTAAGTATTGGACATCAAAATTTTTACCCCTATGTTACACTTTCACGTAACGCTAATGTAATAATGTAGCTCATCATCTAGCCAAACAAAAATGTCTATTTTCTGTTTTTTATTCTGAGTCTATATGGCTCCAAAGAACTTCTTTGTAATTATCTTTCAAATTAATTAAAAGTTTGTTGACGAAAAAAAAAAATCAGAAGGATGCGATTCTTACGTGAAAGTTCAAGCTCTTTTTTTTTTTTCCTACAAAACTTTAATAATGCTGGAAGGATAAAATGAGAAGGTAATTGTTTGAAAAAAAAAAAATAGCGAAGGCAATTAAATTCACAAAGTGATAGAGCACGTTTTTCCTCATCCTCAGATTTTACTAAGTAGCTTTTTTTTTTTTGATAACCAATTTTTACTAAGTAGCTAGTAACAATATTTCTACAATATTTATTAAGAACTCACAAAATTAATTTTGTCAAACTTTAGGCTTCACTTTCTAATTAGTTTCCTCGAGGTACGTCGGTTTAAAGTTTGTTTCCTCCAACCTACAGATTTCACACACACAAACACAACTATTTCTACACAACTAACGTGCGTATTATATCAATACATACTAGTAATACACTGTACCGGCTATTAAACGAGTCTCAACAAAACTTAATTGTTTGTAAGATTATTCTTTTGCCATAAAAACGTTTTTTTTAATCACGTGAAAGGTGCCGGTCTAGTCGCTAGCGGTGTCTTTTTTTTCAATTCTTTGATCTAATATTAGAAATAGTCAAAAATAATTCTTAAAATGAGGAAAAACTAAACCTGAATAAGATTCATTTATAACTGATTTCCAATTTGTATAAAAATAGCTTTTCTACAAATCACCTACTTTTCGCCGCATTTCAATTTCTTTGTGTGTATATTGACATGTTCAATAAGATTTTCAAATTTAGTAAAAAAATCTGAAAACATTCATAAATATTTTCTTAAGAAGAGAAATTTGACTTTTTAATATCTTAAGAAAACTATCTAGATATCTTAGTATAATGGATTTGATTTATCTAAAACACTGATCACACACGTCTAAGAGTTCCGTACCAATATAGCTAAAACTTAATTAAATCAATAGACACAGAAAGCATGGTAGTTGAAATATATAAAACCAAAACAACATGCAGTCTTTTAATCTTCTATTGAAATACCACGCAACTTTATCATTACTCGAATCATAAAACGGCAAGCATGTTTGTTAAAAAAATAGAAAGACCAAAAGTAAACGTGCAAATCTCTACACATGTCTATTAGATTATGGGACCCATGTCCCTCCTATAATGTCAGGTGGCAGACACATGACGCAGACTCTGACGCTTTTTAACAAAACCAAAAGTCTCCACGAAACTTCCTACAAGAATCTTATTACAAAAACCTAAATATACACACATTTATCTAATCTATAGAATTATAATTGGTAAAATAAAATTTGGAGAGATATTTGAGTCGACGTCAAAACCATTTTTGTAGGCGAATCATCTGGACCGGTAAGAGACTCTCTCATCGATAATAACCACATACTTTAATCAAACTCTTTCTCTCTCTTTCTAAGATCTCTTGCTTTGCTCTTTTGCTTCTTGATCTTCCTATATATGGAGAAGCACCGAAACGGTACTTACTATACGATACTGTACGGATCAATCAAACTGGATTGATTATCTAAACGTACCTTTTATCTTATCCGGCAAGTTACCTTCCTAGGGTTTCGGAGAATCCAATCAACAACAAAGAAAAAAATCATCGTTACTATAATCAGTATCACGTACAGACTTAGATGTTCCGGTTTCCAGTGAGTCTAGGCGGTTCACGTGACGAAGCCCGTCACGATCAGATCACACCGTTGGATGAGCATCGTGTGGTTGTTGATGAGGTTGACTTCTTCTCAGAGAAGAGAGATAGGGTTTCACGTGAGAACATCAACGACGAAGACGACGAAGCCAATAAGGCTCACGTCAAAATGGAGAATTCACGAGTTGAAGAAAATGATCGTTCCAGAGATGTCATTGTAAGTATAGTTGATTTTTCTCCTAATTTTTGTTATCGATATTAATGGTTATTTAATTTATTTCTTATATGTGTTGAAATTTGTTTCTTTGGTTGGTGAGATGTGATGTGAATGCTCATAACACTAGCAATAATTATTTTTCAAACAGTTGATTTTATTATTTTTACATATATACCACGCAGATCAACTGAATCTGGTTTATGTATATTAATACGGTGTATATAAATATAGATCGGGCTGAATCTTCTCACCGCGAATACGGGAAGCGATGAATCAACGGTGGATGATGGACTATCAATGGATATGGAAGATAAACGTGCAAAGATTGAGGTACTTTTTGATTTCCTTTTTATTCTATAACTAATTATCCACTAACACAAGTAATTGCATCCTATTACATATCTTTAGTTTCTAACTCCACTAAATGGTGTTTGGTTCGAGAGAAATAAAGCTTAATTTATGAAAATTTACAAAATTTTAAGGAGACATTGTTTGACCTAAAAGCACAAATTTTCGATAGATTAGTACTGTTCAAAATTTGGGAGACGTTTAGTTTTTTTTTTCTTTTCTAATGCGTATATGTTTTTGGTTGCAATTAATGAATTGAAGAACGCACAACTACAAGAAGAGCTCAAGAAGATGAAAATAGAGAATCAAAGGCTAAGAGATATGTTGAGCCAAGCGACGACCAACTTCAATGCCTTACAAATGCAACTTGTTACCGTTATGAGGCAACAAGAACAACGTAATTCCTCCCAAGATCATCTCCTGGTAATAATTACATTAATTTACCTTTTTTACTTAATTGATCTAAATCTTTATCCCTCTAAAATATACATATATTCTTTATGTATCTGGTTAAATCATGTCAGTAAAAAATATATAGATCGATCTCCAAACTGTATTCATTGAATTCTCTGTAGCTTTTAATTTGGCATACTACTACTACATGAACTATGTGGACAATCCAAAAGTTTGTATAGTTGATCAATAATTTTGTGTTAGTCGTAAAAAAAATCAGTCTTACCAACTCTATGTATTTTTGTCGTTATGACGGTTGTAAATTTGAATTTTTTCAATCTTAAGTAACGTAACGTCGGCACATGAGATTTTTTTTTTTTTTTTTTTTTTTTGTCACAATCGGCACATGAGATTTATTTTATTTAAAAAAACGAAATGTTTTCGATAATCGATACATACACAAATCCAAACACGAAATCCATTGACTATATTCTTTCAGATCTATTTGAAAAGTATCAATATTATTTAACTAAAACAAAGTATAATTCCTCAGCTACTTTCTATTTATTTTTATTTATTTTCTTAGCTAGGTATTAGTTAAATAATGCGAAAAGACTAATATGCAGTACGTATATATCTATCAAGTATTAATGTTTAAGCTTTCTTTAACTTAGGCTACGGAGGGCAAAGCAGAAGGAAGGAAACGGCATGAACTGCAAACCATGGTGCCAAGGCAGTTCATGGACCTCGGGCCGTCGTCTGGCGCGGCAGAGCATGGAGCCGAAGTGTCATCTGAAGAGAGGACAACGGTTCGTTCGGGTTCTCCTCCTTCGCTTCTAGAAAGTTCCAATCCCCGAGAGAACGGAAAGAGGTTGCTTGGAAGAGAAGAAAGCTCAGAGGAATCCGAGTCTAACGCCTGGGGAAACCCTAACAAAGTCCCTAAACATAATCCATCATCTAGCAACAGCAACGGAAACAGAAACGGAAATGTTATTGATCAGTCGGCCGCGGAAGCCACCATGCGTAAAGCCCGTGTCTCAGTTCGTGCCCGATCTGAAGCTGCGATGGTAACCCTAACTCCCTCTAATGGTAGCTAGCATAAGCTTATATTCGAACATAAACTTAATGATTATATATTTCAATGTTGTTAACTTGTTATATAGATAAGCGATGGATGTCAATGGAGAAAGTACGGACAAAAAATGGCTAAAGGAAACCCGTGTCCGCGAGCTTATTATCGCTGCACAATGGCCGGTGGATGTCCTGTTCGCAAGCAAGTACGTATGCTTTTACATTTTAGTTGGCATGTTTAAATTAGATCTACTATATAATTTGCGTTTGAAACAAAGGAAGCCTTAACCAATGATGTCTTAACAGGTGCAACGTTGCGCAGAAGACAGATCTATTCTCATAACCACCTACGAAGGAAACCACAACCATCCACTCCCACCAGCCGCTATGGCCATGGCCTCAACAACCACCGCAGCCGCAAGCATGCTGCTCTCAGGCTCAATGTCGAGTCAAGACGGTTTAATGAACCCAACAAACCTCCTAGCTCGAGCCATCTTGCCTTGCTCCTCAAGCATGGCCACAATCTCAGCCTCCGCACCATTCCCAACCATCACATTGGACCTCACCAATTCACCCAACGGCAACAACCCTAATATGACCACTAATAACCCGTTGATGCAGTTCGCTCAACGGCCTGGTTTCAACCCGGCGGTTTTGCCTCAAGTGGTCGGCCAAGCTATGTATTATAACCAACAACAGTCCAAGTTTTCTGGTTTACAGTTACCGGCTCAGCCACTGCAAATGGCGGCCACTTCCTCGGTGGCCGAGAGCGTTAGTGCTGCCAGTGCAGCGATTGCGTCCGATCCTAACTTTGCGGCGGCTCTAGCGGCAGCAATTACCTCCATTATGAACGGTTCCAGTCATCAGAATAATAACACCAATAGTAATAATGTGGCTACAAGCAACGGTGACAGTAGGCAATAAGAGTTTTCATTTTGATGGTCGATCTTTTTTTTTCGTACTTTGTTTTGAGTTTTGGATGTGTAATTATACGTATCTTTTTTGTTTAGCTTTTTTTCCGTGAACAACAAGGGTCTTAAGAACATGTTTTTTTGTTTCTGTTCTTCATGTAAGATCAACGATTTTGTTTGGAAATTAATATCTCTCTAAAATATATTTTCTTCAATATGAACTCACATATTTTCTTTTATATATGTAATATAGTTTTTTGATATATTACTTCTAAAATTAAATGATAATTTTTTTGTTTTTAGTTAGGAATTTTGGATAAAACACCCTAAAGGTAAAAGGAACAAAAATGAAAGCAAAATATGCATATCAATTAACATGTTCTAAAGGTCACATTATATATATATGGACTAGTCGAATTTATAAAACAGTTCATCAATTAATTGATCGGTTCACCGAAGAAATAGTTACCTATAAGCGTAATGACCAAGAATTAGATATAAATAAAGTTTCTATTTTTGGCTAAACTGTAATAAAAATCATTGTCATGTGGTGATTTATTATATAAATATATTACAGACATGCATCTATTTTTTTCAGATATTAAAAATAGTCAAATGCTGATATAGAATTACAAATGAATGCTTTGTTTGCACAAAATAAAAAATGCTTTGCAAAACAAATATTGTGACTTCGTTTACGCAAATATTCTCTTTTTTTACCATGTGTTCCAATCACGAGAGCATTTATGATATATATAGCTGAGTTGATTGAGTCCTACCTGCATTAAATTTTATGATATTAGAGATTGACCCGCGGTACAAAGATTTGTTTTAAAAAATGTGTGATTTTAAAAGTTTAATAACTTTATAAAATCAATCATATCAAATATTTTTTAAGACATCAAATTAAGTTTATAATAAGTCTAATGATAATTCAGTGTTTTTATTAATCTCTATTTATATGCTATAATTATTGAAAATTTGAAATAGTAAAAAAAAAAAAAGGCAAAACATAAGCACAAAATATGCAAAACATAAGGTTTGAAAAAAAGGATATTAAAAAAGTTTGAAAGTTGTGGGAGCACCCTCCTTCAAAAACATATTTGATGCAATCAAACCACAATCAGTTAATATAATTTAGACAATATATTTTATAAACAAACTATAATAACACAGTCGAAAACTTACAATTGTGTTTAATTAAAGGTACTTGTGCGTACTTGAGATGTAACGATTGTGAGGGTTAGGCATGGGTGGCAAATCTTTTGACGGGACCCAAAGGTTAGCACTTCCGGTATCAAAGATAACAGTGAAAGTTTGGCCTGGAGTGCCGATTGTGATATCGCCATAGTACCTACGGTCGTTTTCATTCTGCAACCATACTCCATCATTGTTCGTTGACAAATTATCTATCTTCATGGGGATTCTCCCAAGCTCTTGAGCTGACACAAAAAGAAAAGAGTAAAAAAAGATAAGTATACATAAGTGTATATATGGACATATTGTTATAGTGTAAGGATCTAAATAACCTGCAAGAGATATTGGAGGAGGAGGGAGAGATAGGAAGCTACAATAAGAGCTCTTTTAATTTAAACTTTAAACTATTCATCTCTAGTTTTTTTTTCTTCTTAATTTCTTTTGATTCTTTTCAAGAGTAGTTGAGAGCATTGACTAACACCAAGACTTTCATAGTTATGTTTTTTTTTGTTAAAATAAATAATACAAATGTTTTTCTATTCTTTTCGAAATGGAGTTACGTGATCTTCACATGCTTATTGCCGGAGCCGGCTCTATAACTTTTAAGGCTACAAGCCCACTTGTTTTTTGGGCCTGTTATTAAAAAACAATTGTTGATTTTTTTGGAAACAAATTTAAAAAGTGGAAGATTTGGGAATCGAAATAGTGATATTAAGAGTTATATCGCCTTGTTTTAACCACCAGAACCAATGAAATTTTTGAAAAAAAAAGCCGAATAACAACTAAATATTTTGGAGGCCACAAGCAGATGCTTCACATGCTTGTAGCTAGGGCCGGCTCTGCTTATTGCATTAATATATATTGTATTTGTTCTTTCCTCCAACATATACGACTAACTCATCAAAGTTTTTTCCTCAAACAAATATGACTAACTCATCAAAGTATGACAAATCACAATGACATACAACAATGATACGAAGTAGGTACATATGACATACAAATAATTTAACCCCCCCAAAAAAAAAAGTAAAAAAAATACATATGAGTATGAATTCAATTCATTCCTCTACCAGGCTGTGCCATGGCGTATATTGAGACAATTGATTGCTCCATTGTCTTAAACTGGAAAGTTGAGTAATAATCCTATTAAATAAGCATTTTGATTATCGTTCTCTCTTTAACATAATAACTTCCCTCTGCTCAACTAAAGGAAATATGAAAAAGTGCCCTCAGGTTTATCTTATTTGTTTTAAGCGCCTCTATATTTAATTTATAGAGTCCCATATTTATAGCGTGTAAAGTTTAAACAAGGAGTCAATTGATAACATTTTTCTTTTGGTACTTTATATGTTTCAAAATTTAAATAAAAACATTAAAGTTTGTTGACTAATAGTAATATCTGATTTTTTTATGTTATATTTGTTTGTCGACTAACTAAAAGAGCTGATTGCGTATTCATCGATGGCTGAACAATGTAAACTAGACAGGCTCGATCTTGCCGCAAGATCTCTTATTAGCTCAGATAAGCTTCTCTCGAGTTTCAACGCTACTCTCCTCTCGAAAACTTGCTAATTCTCTCTTCTTTCTGTTTTGAGTGTTTCTTCCAAGAGAGAGAACAATCCGGCGGAGTTTGTCTCTCTCTCTCTCGTTTTATGTTCGCAAGGTCCGAGAATAAAGGTTTTAGAGATGATTCAACTTTATAGAGAACATCATATTTCTGATTTATTATTTAAAGAACACATGCAAGTCCGTTACTTAATTTATATTACAACGTAACACATAGTAGCTTCATAACCGAGTACTTTATGTTTCATATTTTCTTTAGTTTGTGTTGAACCTAGAATACCATTTAGCCGAATCTTTCTCCCTTCTATCAGCTGGATTAGTGAAGTTCACCCAATTCAAACCAAAGCGGATTGTGTAACCGCTACTGAACTCGTAATTATCCATCGAAGACCATGGAAAATACCCAGCTATGTTGCATCCATCCCTATATAAAATATATACTTATAAATATGAAAAAGAAATGATAGCTGTTTTTTTCTTCCATGTAAACATATCCTAAAAATATCAACTGGTAATTTAAACATCACATATAACTTACTCGATTGCGCATTTCAGACACGACAAATGACTACAGTGGCTTTCAATTCGTCCTTGGTCTGCTAGTGCTTCAGCAAGTGTTAGATTGCCAAATGTAGAAAATCCTGCAAAGTTCATAAAATGTTCATAGATTATTGTTAATTATGTAACTTTATTTAATCACATACATATGTTCGTTTAGTCTATACATATACCATTCTCAGTGATGTAGGTAAGTGGGTTTGCGTAATTGTCTTTGATATAGTTTAGAATTTGACGGAGTCCAGGAGGATAATACACAAAATTAGCACTCTGTAAAAAAATCGTTGGAATTAGTGATATAAATTTTGATTTATTATGAGCTATTTTTTATTGTTATCAATATTGTTTGGTAAAAGCTAAAATTGATACTCACTTGAACACCAATTAGAACTCCACCACGAGAAACTGCTTATTAACAAAGAAAACAAAAATCAGTTTACGTAGATACAGCATGGAGATACTATATCATTCCCAATTGCATGTGAGATAGAAAAATGTAAAGAAAATACCATTTAATTAATATGAATATATGAATTAAAAAATGATGGATAGACATACAGCTAATATTGGCTCTTGGATCAGTTTGGATGTTGGGTGGTGTCGAAATGGGTCGCAAGGAATCAGTTGCATATTGTGTGAAGTAATAGTTTAAACCTAGAAAATCAATGGATCCTTTCACTAATTGAGATTCTAGAAGAGTAAATCTCGGCAATCTTTCCCCTAAAGTATCTTTCATAATCTTCGGATAATCTCCATACACCAGAGGATCCAAGAACCATCCAACAATGAAATCAATTGCTCGCCCCGCAGCCATCTGATCTGAAACGCTTGCTTCATTTAAAGGCACAAACCATCTTCCAATTAAGCTTATTCCTATCTTGCCACCTTGTGTCCTCTGCACATAGTTAAGCCTTTAAAAGTCTTTTGAAACAAAAAAAAGCCTCAATCATTATTTAATTTGCGTTTAGGAGAAATATATGTTTTTCTCACGTATAATTAACTCATGCATTTTTTTTTCTTGTGTTAGTGTAAAAAAACGTATTGAAGCGAAAATGCTCGATCAATAGTTTTTTGAGATATTATTTAAGATTTTTTCATAAAATAACTCATATTTTATTATATTACCTTGTATTTTTGTCGATATAGAAATGCAGTTGTAGCATGAGCAAGAAGTTGGTGATAACCAACAATATAAGGTTCTGTACCAGAATTTCCTCCAAATTCACAACCTGTACATCGCCCCGGTGGAAATGTTCCATCTCCATAACCTTTGTTAGCAAACGTGTAAGGTTGATTAAATGTGATCCAAAACTTCACTCTATCCCCGAATCTTTGAAATAGAAGTTCAGCGTAATCCTTGTAATCTCCCCTACATAAAGATATTCATGAGCTAATAAATGTCATGTATAGTGGAAAAATTAATAAGAGGAGTTACTAATTAAGTCCTCAGATGGATGTAATACTGTAACCTAAGATCGAAATAAATATAATAAGAGAAAATTTGGTCAAAACATCTATTAATTGAATCGCTTACACTATACGTCGGTTTAAAAAACCGCCATACTCGTCTTCTAAAGTTTGGGGGACATCCCAATGGAATATTGTCACGAATGGTTCTATGCCTACATGTACGCGTGTAATCAAGTTAATAGGATCAACATTATAACGGTAACATAAAAAGAAACACACACAAAAAAAAAAAAAAACATAAAAAGAAACATGCACACGTGTTGGTGACAAAATACCATTGGTTTTCAGTTCGTTGATGAGATCGTCGTAGTATTTTATTCCATTCTCATCCACTCCTTCACTCAGCTTTCCCTCTAAGAGAGCAATATATGCATAAAAAGAGTTTGTAAGAATGTAAAAAAAAAATCTTAGTTAGAAGAGAGAATGAGAGTAATTGTGTACTTGGTAGGACCCTTGACCACGCTATCGAGAATCTGTAAGCTTGAACATTCAAGCGTTTCAGTAATTGGACATCCTCCTATAAATAAGCAATGAACTTTCTCGATCAAATTTCATTCCAAGTGACAATACAAAAAACAATTTCGTATACATAGGTCGTTTATAAAAAAAAAACCTTATAAAGCTCATAGGAATTGCATGCCAGATCTCCCGTAGTGCGGTCTGGAACTCTTTCTGCTAAATGAAAAGTCAAAATTGTGAGCATATATATTTTTCAAAATGTATACATACAGTCGGTAAACCATGTATGATATATGTGTGTGTATATAATTATTTACATATAAAAAAATTAGGACAAAACCTGGATATCTGTGAGTATAGTAGTCCCATCCATTAACCGCTCTATGCGCAGCACCTTCAACCTAGTACAAGCAACTCAATTTTTTTTTTTTTTTAAACAAAAATTTCTTCCTATAGTTAACTAGTACTAGAGAGTGGTCTAAAATATGTTATAACAAACATACTTGGTATGCTGAAGTTGCTGCACCAAAAGTGAAGTTTCTTGGAAAATCAGTTCGATTGAAAGTTTGCACATCATTGCAGTTGAAGGGTTCTTTAGCTTGGCACACTGGGTCACAAACTCGTTGACTTGTTGCACTTAAAGCTGCAAAGAGGAGCACAAGGATGCAAGTTTCACGAAATGTCATGGCTTGATAGATTACTGTTTGATTGTATTTTTGGCTGATGGAGAATCGTGAACTTGGAGGGAGTTTATATAGAAGGTTTCAAAAGCATGGGATGGGAGCTGCATGGAGATTGCATTCAATTCGTTACGTGTAATAATTCACTTACTCTTCATGTTCCCTGGTCAAATCTCGATGCCTTTTTAAATTATTACTTGGAACAATATGCAACTGATTCATTGGAACCCATTTCGACGCACCCAACGGCTTAACTGATCCAAGAGCCAATTTTAGCAATATGTCTATATATCCATCGTTGCTCGAAAAATATCCTATTGTTATATGATCAAACATATATTTGAGGAAAATTAATGGAAGGTGGAAGAAAAGGATAAAGAGAAAGACCTTTCGAAGTAGTTTTTGAACATTTTCTGAACTCAACGTTGATCTATACTTTATTTTAGAATAATCATCTTGTATCGGGTCTCGTGGGTATTACCACTCGATATGTAGAGCGTAAAAATATGATTTCTTTTCAATATATAAAACGTGGAAATTTTTCTTTGCTCAACCAACTATAATTGTATATAGTTATAGCTTTTTTTTTTGTCTAAATATATAGTTATAGCTTTTCCAGTTCTTTTCTTCTGCTAATCATAATTATTTATTATTTCAATTAAACGAATAGTCATTAAGTCATATTGAATCCATTCCTCTCGTCAATAACCAGTAAATATCATATTCTTGAGGAAAATTAACAACTCCACTTAATTATACCGTTTCAAATTTTTGATTTTTTTTTGTCATAACTAAGGTATATGATAGTTTTATTTATAGGTCGTTTGTGGCGATTGGTTAGAAACTCAAAAGAAATGACTCAAAAATTTGATAAGCTTCTCTTCAAAAAAAAAAAAAAAACATTCTAAAAAATGCGGTGATGGCTTGATTAGTACGTAAATAGTCCAATTTAAAACCTTGAAACGTTAAGGCGCTGGCCTGTCAAAATTAATGTGCGAACAATAATAGAGCACCGCAAAACAAATTAACATTTGTAAACATATATGTACATATAGCTTTGGATGATTATGGATTACATTTTACAATCTTTGAAGATACGTATAAAGGATTTTGGAGTATAGCGTTGAAGAAAGTTGTAGATGGGAGAAGGTCTAGTCTTAGACTGGTACTCAATAGTTTTAGTGGAAGCAGTTTCAGAACTATGGAATAAAGTTTATACTATTTGTGAACGCACGACCAAGTATGCAATATTTTGTTTTACTGCATTTTAGATCGTCCAGCGACTTGAGAGGTACGTCAATTTTTCAATCCAAGTATTCTTGGCCTTACATTTTGGGGGCGGACAAAATTTTTCAATCCAAGTATTCTTGGCCTTATGATCGCGACCAATCTTGACTCCTAAAAACAAGGCGGACCAATCTTAACATGTTTTTGCTTTATGTAGTGTCTAGTTTATTAAATTTTTGGTTAGAGTTTAGAATTTTGGTCTAAAGTATAAAGTTTATTTGGTTATCACAGGGAGAGTAAAGGTGTATATATTAAAAAGATAAGTAACCAAAACTAATTTGCAATTCAGGTTTGTACAGAAATTAAAAAAATCATCAATCATTTTCTCTATACACAAAACGAATTAATGAATATCAATTTGTCTGTAGACTAATTAAAAGAGCTTGCTTGCGCATTCATCTATAGTAGATGGGAGAAGGTCTAGTCTTAGACTGGTACTCAATAGTTTTAGTGGAAGCAGCTTCAGAACTATGGAATAAAGTTTATACTATGTGTGAACGCACGATCAAGTATGCAATATTTTGTTTTACTGCATTTTAGATCGTCCAGCGACTTGAGAGGTACGTCAATTTTTCAATCCAAGTATTCTTGGCCTTATAATGGCGACCAATCTTGGCCCCTAAAAACAAGGCGGACCAATCTTGACGACCCCTAAGAAATGGACAGTAACATGTTTTTGCTTTATGTAGTGTCTAATTTATTAAATTTTTGGTTAGAGTTTAGAATTTTGGTCTAAAGTATAAAGTTTATTTGGTAATTTATAAGTCAACTTTAACAAAAAGATAAGAAGATAATTTATACGTCAACATTATGATAACATTACATATATAACAAATTATTCATTTTGTAACAGTTGAATGAAAAGTAAAATGTATACAACAAAATTTACAAACTAGAAGTCTATCAATTGAGGAAAAAAAAAAAACTAGAAGTCTAACAAATTATTCATTTTGTCTCTCTCTCTCTCGTTTTATGTTCGCAAGGTCCGAGAATAAAGGTTTTAGAGATGATTCAACTATATAGAGCACATCATATTTCTGATTTATTATTTAAAGAAGACATGCAAGTCCGTTACTTTATATTACAACGTAACACATAGTAGCTTTATAACCGAGTACTTTATGTTTCACATTTTCTTTAGTTTGTGTTGAACCTAGAATACCATTTAGCCGAATCTTTCTCCCTTCTATCAGCTGGATTAGTGAAGTTCACCCAATTCAAACCAAAGCGGATTGTGTAACCACTACTAAACTCGTAATTATCCATCGAAGACCATGGAAAATACCCAGCTATGTTGCATCCATCCCTATATAAAATATATACTTATAAATATGAAAAAGAAATAAAATATGTTTTTTTTTCTTCCATGTATACATATCCCAAAATATCAACTGGTAATTTAAACATCACATATAAGTATAACTTACTCGATTGCGCATTTCAGACACGACAAATGACTACAGTGGCTTTCGATTCGTTCTTGGTCTGCTAGTGCTTCAGCAAGTGTTAGATTGCCAAAAGTAGAAAATCCTGCAAAGTTCATAACATGTAATTCATAAATTATTGTTAATTATGTAACTTTGTTTAGTTACATATATATGTTCGTATAGTCTATACATATACCATTCTCAGTGATGTAGGTAAGTGGGTTTGCGTAATTGTCTTTGATGTAGTTTAGAATTTGACGGAGCCCAGGAGGATAATACACAAAATTAGCACTCTGTAAAAAACCATTGGAATTAGTGTACAAATTTTGATTTATAATGAGCTATTTTTTATGTTATAAATATTTTTTTGTTAAAAGCTAAAATTGATACTCACTTGAACACCAATTAGAACTCCACCACGAGAAGCTGCTTATTAACAAAGAAAACAAAAATCAGTTTACGTAGATACAGCATGGAGATACTATAGTCTATATCATTACCAATTGCATGTGAGATAGAAAAATGTAAAGAAAATACCATTTAATTAATATGAATATATGAATTAAAAAATGATGGATAGACATACAGCTAATATTGGCTCTTGGATCAGTTTGGATGTTGGGTGGTGTCGAAATGGGTTGCAGTGAATCAGTTGCATATTGTGTGAAGTAATAGTTTAAACCTAGAAAATCAATGGATCCTTTCACTAATTGAGATTCTAGAAGAGTAAATCTCGGCAATCTTTCCCCTAAAGTATTTTTCATGATCTTCGGATAATCTCCATACACCAGAGGATCCAAGAACCATCCAACAATGAAATCAATTGCTCGCCGCGCAGCCATCTGATCTGAAACGCTTGCTTCATTTAAAGGCACAAACCATCTTCCAATTAAGGTTAATCCTATCTTTCCACCTTGTGTCCTCTGTACATAGTTAAGCCTTTAAAAGTCTTTTGAAACAAAAAAGGCTCAATCTTTATTTAATTTGCGTTTGGTAGAAATATATGTTTTTTCTCACGTATAACTAACTCATGCAGTTTTTTTGTGTGTGTTTAATTAGTGTAAAAAAGGTATTGAAGCGAAAATGCTCGATCAATATTTTTTTAGATATTTTAGATTTTTTTCATAAATAAATCATATTTTATTATATTACCTTGTATTTTTGTCGATATATAAATGCAGTTGTAGCATTAGCAAGAAGTTGATGATAGCCAACAATATAAGACCATCCACAATGGTGGTTTCTTAAGAGTACCTAAGCTATTAAACAAATAAAAAAAATGAAATAAGAAGAGAGAGACATAGCAACGTTTCTAAAACAAGGTACGCATAAAAAGCTATCTCTACACATGTTATTCATTTAGTGGCCCAGTTTTTATTTAAAATTAAAATTTAAATATAAAACTAAATTATATCTAAAATACTATTACTTTATTACTAAAAACTCTAATTGAGTTTCTTTACCGTTGGGGTTGCTCTAAGGTTCTGTACCAGAATTTCCTCCAAATTCACAACCTGTACATACATCGCCCCGGTGGAAATGTTCCCTCTCCATAACTTCACTCTATCCCCGAATCTTTGAAAGAGAAGTTCAGCGTAATCCTTGTAATCTCCCCTACATAAAGATATTCATGAGCTAATGAATGTAATGTATAGTGGAAAAATAAGAGGATCAGATGAATGTAATACTGTAACATAAGATCGAAATAAATATAATAAGAGAACTTTTTTGGACAAAACAGCTATTATTTGAATCGCTTACACTATACGTCGGTTTAAAAAACCGCCATACTCGTCTTCTAAAGTTTGGGGGACATCCCAATGGAATATTGTCACGAATGGTTCTATGCCTACATGTACGTGTAATCAAGTTAATAGGATCAAGATTATAACGATAACATAAAAAGAAACATGCACACGTGTTGGTGACAAAATACCATTGGTTTTCAGTTCGTTGGTGACAAAAAAGAAACATGCACACGTCGTAGTATTTTATTCCATTCTCATCCACTCCTTCACTCAGCTTTCCCTCTAAGTGAGCAATATTGCATAAAGGAGAGTTTGTAAGAATGTAAGAAAAAAAAATCTCAGTTAGAAGAGAGAATGAGAGTAATTGTGTACTTGGTAGGACCCTTGACCACGCTATCGAGAATCTGTAAGCTTGAACATTCAAGCGTTTCAGTAATTGGACATCCTCCTATAAATAAGCAATGAACTTTCTCGATCAAATTTCATTCCAAGTGACAATACAAAAAACAATTTCGTATACATAGGTCGTTTATAAAAAAACCTTGTAAAGCTCATAGGAATTGCATGCCAGATCTCCCGTAGTGCGGTCTGGAACCCTTTCTGCTAGATAAAAAGTCTAAATTGTGAGCATATATTTTTTCAAATTGTATATATACAGTCCATAAACCATGTGTGATATATGGGTTTGCAATATAATTATTTACATTATCATAAATTAGGACAGGAACCTGGATATCTATGAGTATAGTTGTCCCATCCATTAACCGCTCTATGTGCAGCACCTTCAATCTAGTGCAAGAAAATCAATTTAAAAAAATAAAAATAAAAACTCTTCCTATAGTTAACTCATAGTTTTTATTTATTACATAATTAGCAGTGCCGGCCCTGAGCACAGCCAATTGAGGCAATGGTTTGTGGCCCCCAAATTTTTTGTTGCAAAATGAGGCCCCCAAATATATTTTTTGTTGCAAAGAGAGGCCCCATTTTCTTGAAATTTTAAGATTTGGTATCAGTTTTTAAAATTTATCTATAAAACCCAACAAATTTTTTCTTTTTTTGCTGGGGCCCCATATTGTTCAGGGCCGGCCCTGATAATTAGAGAGTGGTCTAAAATATGTAATAACAAACATACTTGGTATGCTGAAGTTGCTGCACCAAAAGTGATGTTTCTTGGAAAATCAGTTCGATTGAAAGTTTGCACATCATTGCAGTTGAAGGGCTCTTTAGCTTGACACACTGGATCACAAACTCGTTGACTTGTTGCACTTAGAGCTACAAAGAGGAGCACAAAGATGCAAGTTTCACGAAATGTCATGGCTTGAGAGATTACTTTTGCTGATTGTATTTTTGGCTGATGGAGAATCGTGAACTTGGAAGGAGTTTATATAGAAGGTTTCAAAAGTATGGGAGCTGCATGGAGATAGCAATAAATTCGTTACGTGTAATAATTCACTTAGTACTCTTCATGTTCCTTGGCCAAAGATCGATGCCTTTTTAAATTATTACTTGACAACAATATGCAACTGATTCATTGGAACCCATTTCGACGCCACTCAACGGCCTAACTGATCCAAGAGCCAATTTTAGCAATAGGTCTATATATCCATCATTTTTAATTGATTAAATGGTATTTGTTTTTTTGACATTTTAGCAGTATGTTTCTATAGAAAGTTTTATAAAGCATGGCAGTTGCATGGAGATTAAGTTCATTACGTGTAAGAATTCACTACTTGCAATTTTACACCGTACCTCATGTTTCCTGATCCAATTTTGAAATTAATATTCACCTAGCTATACATGGCTACAATTGTTTTCATTCTTCTTAATACTCCCTTTATTTCATGAACATTAAATTTTTCGAATTTTCACACATATCTTTTATCGTAAAGTTTATGATTAAAAATAACTTTATAAATTGTTTGCACACAAAAAAAAAAACTTTATAACCTGCTGGTAAAAAGTCACTATAATTTTTTTTTTTTTTTGACAAAGGTCGTCATACCAAAACCGTCGTCGGAAATTGATATGTTTTCTTGTAGATTGATCAAATTCTATTTCTACCATTATGTTGTCATATAGAACAATAGGCTTGTGTGTTGTATAAGGCTGAAACTTTCTAAAGCCTACCCCTATTATATTTACAGCCTATTGTAAGGAATAGTTTGGCAGAAGAGAGAAAAGAAGATCAGTTTTGAATTAGAGACTGTACAACAGTGGCTTTGCCCGCAGGTAAAGTTCTTTTTAATCCAAATGTACTTACCACCGCCTTCATTTGAAATCTAATCATCCATAGGACGAGTGGTTTTCCGATAGTAATGAAATGTAACTAAAAGCTTCAAATCTCACACTAGCTAGATGTAACTTGGAGTTGGTTCTACTGTGCTCCTAGTTCCATATGCTCTCTTGGGATGAGGGGTATATTCAAAAGGAACAAACTTAAGGGAGATTCGGACCTACAAAGAATACGGTGGAGGCTTGAACTTCGAGGTTATCAAAAGGATAAAAAATGTAGGATCATATTTTTCCTAACTTTTAGATATTTATTTTTCAGACGTTTTATTATATTGTTAATTATTTTAAAGTAATAAACCAAATAATGTAAAAAGGTGTTTTCCCAAATTTCTGAGTAAAGGAAATCTGTATCCTATTCAATTAATCTTTCCAACAAGAAACGAACAATAAAAATACACATGTGGATCAAAATGAAAACCAAGTGATTAAGATTCATCAAACGACATACAATTAAATTTTCATATATACTAAATTTGATATTGTTCCAATCTGATTTTAAAGACATTATATTTATTTTACTTTCACACTTGGAAAAGAAAAGAAACACAAGTCCAACATAGATGTGTTTATGGCATTAGAAAGAAAAAAATATATATTGAAAAGATACAACAGACTTGAGATCAATCATTTCCGTTTGATATTTGGCACAAACCATCGAGCATCAGATGAATGAATGAACGAACAAATATTTCTGAAATACATCCAATTTTGAATAATAAGATAATATCAGAGCCTGATGGATTATAGATTTGTGACATTTCTAAATATAGACCGTGTATATACAAAATTCACTTGTCCAAATATAAAAAAGATTTTATATGTGTGAGATTCTTGTCTTTTTTGTCTTAACTTTGTATGATTTGCACTAGGTTATTACAGGGAGAGTAAAAGTGTATATATTAAAAGATAAGTAACCAAAACTAATGTGCAATTCAGGTTTGTACAGAAATTCAAAAAATCATCTATCAGTTTCTCTATACACAAAACGAATCAATGAATATCAATTTGTCTGTAGACTAATTAAAAGAGCTTGCTTGCGCATTCATCTATGGCTGATCCTTGTAACCTAGACAAGCTAGATCTTCTGGCGAGATCTCTCAATTCAGACAAGCTTCTCCCGAGTTTCAACGCTACTTTTGTCTCAAAAACTTGCCCATTCTCTCTTCTCTCTGTTTTGATCGTATCTTCCAAAAGAGAGAAGAATCCGGCGGAGTTTCTATACATCTCAAACACCATCCCTACTTGACCTCCGTGCTCTAACGTGTTCACTACGGCAGCCAATGAAGCACACGTTGTTGCTACTACTCCAGCTAAACCTGAACCGTGCCCTATAAAACCGGAACTTACAGCAGCGATTCCGGTTAACACCGGTCCAGAGATTGCCAAAACCCTGTTTAACTTCAAGGCCACGTTACCTAATTTCTCGTACTCCTCTGCATCTCTACTCTTAATAACCTCAACCACCTCTTTCATCTCCATCTCTAGCTCCGAGTTCCACCCGTTAGCATCGGTTCTGGAATTAGTGAACTCGGGTTTTGTTTCGGGCCACCAAGTCGCTGGCTTGAATTCTTGAGGGAACTTCTCGAGCATGGTGCCGACTAGAGGAAGTGGGTAAGCTTTGTCTAAACAGAGCACTCTCTTTATAGCTTCTTTCACGTCTGCTTCACTGAATCCATCTTCGATTTTCTCCCACAGAACCATCTCGATTCTGTTTCTAAGCTGCTTGAACAACCTCGTCGCGTTCCTCTGCTCCTCCACAAGCTGTGACTGGCTGAATCTTGTTCATCAAGGCAGCCAAACCTGTAGCAGAAGCCAGTAACACCGTAGAAGCTATACTCACCGCGGAAACGGAATCTAATCCACTGGCGTTCATAGAAGCTATTCCGGCCATCAAAGCGGCACTGAGAGTAATCATGTTGACGGAATTGAGCAAGAGAGAGTTCCAGTTATTGCGTTGCTCTCCAATGTTCTTGTGCATCTCTACTCTATCTATAACTTCTTCAAGAACCGCCATGAGCCGCGACCTTTGCAAAACCTGATCATCGCACCCTCTCTTCTTCTGCCTTTGTCTCTCTAACAGCGAAAGATCAAAATCTTCAGCAAAACCATCCAACCGAAAACTCGGTTCTTCGACTCTGAAATTCCGGTTCTTGATCGGTATTTGCGGAATCGAGACATTAAACTTCGGTAATTTAGGGAGTGAGACCGCTGATCTTGTTCTTGTGCAAGAAGAACAAGAAGTAGTAAGCATAAATCTTGAAGCCTGTAGTGAAGCCATATGGAGGAGATTATGTTTTGTTGATTATGATTGTGTTTGTTTCTGGTGTTTCTTGTTCTGGTTGTTGAAACTAAGGAGGCAGAAGATCTAACGTATATATAGTTTGTGAGAATTACAGGTGAACAATAGAGGAATAGAAAATGTTTGACCAATAGGAAGAGACTTTTGACCAATGACCAGTTCGTACTTCGTAGTTGTTGGATTCTCTTGTGGCGATTTTGGTCAACCATTAGAATCAGTAAAATCTCTAACTTCTCAAAATAAATTATGGTTCACTTATTGTTGCCTCCTTAGAACGAGTCTTGCTTCAACATTGAATAGTTAATTTGTATTCAAAAAGTCCACTAAATATATAAAAACAGACTAATACAAACTACTATAGCAAAGAAGTTAAGCTAATAACTTTTCAAATCACAATCATGTTACCTACACAATTTTATTCATATCCCCAAATAAAAAACATAGCTTTTTCAATTCTCAAGCTTTTTTTGTTTACCTTCTTCATTCTCACATGCTTCTTCTCTTTACAAAACTCTGATTTTAGGTTATGTACAATTGGGTCTAATTTGGGTTTTAAATAAAGCCCATTTAACGAAACTTATTGGGCTATTGGTGTATATAGTACTGTATTAAGCATTTCAAATTTGGCGGGATCAAAACGGTTAATTATGTTTTTCGGTTACTAAATACATACACGAGCTAGAGAATTTGTGCAGATTCATCTATCAGCTAAAAAAGCATTTAGTCAATTTATATACTACTAGTTAATATAATTTGGCAAAAATATACATTAATACTAACAGCACAATTATATGTTACCTGATTTTTATGTTTTCGTTTACTATTCGCCTAATAAGCAATTTTTCTATTGAGATATGCAATGCAATTTCTCTAAGAAAAATGTAAGTTGACAACTCCTAAGTAACACTACAATCATTTGAAAACAGAATTATTCTAAATGACAACCAAAATTTCAAAACGTTTAAGTTATCTGGCTACTTGGTAAGTTTATAAATTTTATTTTGTGGTTTTAGTTGCGATAAAAATAAATAGAAAAATGTATCGTAATTTTATTCATTATGGAAAACGAATTCATCGTACATGATTTTATCGATAAGATTTATCAAATAGAATAACTAAAGGGAAATATCAAAATTTGAAACAAAATCCTTATTTAATGGAATTGACAAATAAGATATGTATGGAGTGAGTCCCTACTCACTAGGGAGAATTTTTATCACCGGTGAGATTGGTTTGGTAAGTGGTACCACCACCACTTCCTCCTCCAATGCCTATACCAAAGCCAATGCCCATTCCAAAACCCACTCCTCCTCCTCCTCCATTGCCAGTTCCGGCTCCTCCTCCCATTCCATATCCTTCTCCTCTTCCACTTCCACTTCCGCTGCCTCCGCCACTACCTCCACCACCACCTCCACCTCCTCCACCACCACCGCCTCCACTACCACTACCTTTGCCCGTACCAGAACCATAACCACTACCACTTCCGTAACCTGATCCATTTCCACCACCTCCTCCACCTCCACCTCCTTCACCGCTGCCACCACCTCCTCCACTATTTCCAAAGCCAATTCCAACACCGAAACCACTACCATGACCATATCCACCACCAGATTTACTATCACCGCTACCACCTCCACCACCACCACCTCCTCCTCCTCCTCCACCTGCTGCTCCTGTAACTCCACCACCAGCACCGGATCCGCTTCCATGACCTGATCCTCCATTGGAACCACCCCCTTCTCCACCACCACCTCCTCCCCCTCCTCCTACTCCACCAGCTGCTCCTCCAACTCCAGCACCAGCACCAGCCCCACTTCCATGACCTGAACCTCCATTGGCACCACCGCCTTCTCCGCCACCGCCTCCTCCACCTCCTCCAGCTCCCCCAGATGATCCACCAACTCCAGCACCAGCTCCAGAACCACTTCCATGACCGGATCCTCCATTGGCACCACCGCCTTCTCCGCCACCGCCTCCTCCACCTCCTCCAGCTCCCCCAGATGATCCACCAACTCCAGCACCAGCTCCAGAACCACTTCCATGACCGGATCCTCCATTGGCACCACCCCCTTCTCCGCCACCACCTCCCCCACCTCCTCCTACTCCACCAGATGCTCCACCGACACCAGCACCAGCTCCAGAACCACTCCCATGACCTGATCCTCCACTTGAACCACCTCCTTCTCCGCCACCACCTCCTCCACCTCCTCCTACTCCACCAGGTGCTCCACCAACACCAGCACCAGCACCGGATCCACTTCCATGACCAGAACCCCCATTTGCACCACTGCCACCACCTTCTCCTCCGCCTCCTCCTCCACCTCCTCCAACACCACCATAGCCACTCATACCAGCTCCAGCACCATATCCTTCTCCATGACCATACCCATCACCTCCTTCACCACCACCTCCTCCACCGCCACCTCCTCCTCCACCTCCACCGCCATATCTTTTAGCACCTTTTCCGTAGAAACTACCACAACCACGCCAACTCCGGGAAGAACAATCATCATCGTCATTGTTATTCTCCACATTATCTCCACAACTCCCCCCAAGCAATGCAAAAACAATGCATGAAAGAAGAAGAAGCACGTATAAAACCCTTGAATTAGTAGCCATTGAAGTACTCTTTTTAGTTTTCAAAGAACTAGAAAACTGCTTTGGTTTGATTCCATTTCTGCTTGGTTCTGCTCTCTATTTATAGCACCAATTCGAAGTGGAATATCGATTATTTTTATTTTAAAAAAAATATTAGTTCAATAGTCAAACCAGTGTTGGTCCATATTCATTTAGACTTACTGTGTTTCCAAGGTACGTGACCTATTAGGAGCTAAATATTTTATTGAGAATTGAGAAAAGAGTTCTAATTTAAGTCAATGAAAAAGTTCTACAAAGTCAACTGATTGGGTAGACAACCACACTAAAAGACATGTTTTTTTTTTGTAACGATAATGTGTATTTAAAAATAATTTGAAATAACCAAATTGTCTTGTACTTCACTTATACTATATGTTGTCGCTAAAAATTTGAAATTGTAGTAACTTTTTTGTGTTTATCATTCGCTTATTTACGATAGAACTTTCCTGCTAATGATACCTTTGAATTGGTCATCAACTAGTAACTCAAACTAATGCTCATATACGTATAATTAAGAAATTGTCAACCGGGATCGGTGAGTTATCACTAATCAAAACGTCTAATTATTATATTATTTCACAGTATTGGATCTGCCACTGTTTTCAGATAAAGCATTGAAATTTCTAGCCTCCTCAGAGCATCTCCAATGGTGAGAGCCTTTCCAAGAGCTCTCTCCCAATGTTTAATATAAATTGTGGAAATTTGTAAGATGAGAGCTTGTGTTATTTTTTTTAAAAAATCCATTGTCCAATGGTAGTATCTCTCAAGTGGGGTTCTTTCAATATGCTTGATCAAACAATATGATTAATCAAATCCAAAGCATTAAAACTCACTTCGACTTGGCTCTTCTATATCCTCAAAACAGATTCACTAAAGCTTGGTTCAAATGATACAAAGACAAGATGGTAGAAGAAGAAACTCACTCCTGTGTAACCTAAGCCTACAAGTTCAAGAACACCATGAACCAATGGAAGCCTATCGATTGGAAACATATGTTCCTCACCTTACTCCTCCATCAAGCAAAACCGGAATCCTACCTCTAACAACATGAACAACCTGCAGTTCCAGAAGAAGACCAGTTTGTTCATCAATCAAGGTTTCAATCAACTGAGAAAAAAATAAAAATAAAACAGAGGTAGTATGAGAAGATAGTAATCCCATGATCTAAATCTCTATCTTCAAAGCCATTGAAAGCTCACCAAAACTAAAATTCTTTCAAAACCTATAAAGTAGTAAACTTTTACTCAAGTCTATAAAACCCATCAAGCAATACAAATGAAATTTGAAAAACACATAGGACCAAACACGTTTAGTCAGCATGAAGCAAATCACTCAATCTAACTCAGAACACAGACACAGACATTAACAACTACGTTTATCAAAACCCTGAATTGTTCAGAAATCAAGAGATTTAGAAACAAGGAATCAAATCACAAACTTATCCTGAAAAATTCGAAATGAAAAGTCGCTTGATTGAAAGATTTGATGGAAGAAGGGCTGGGATTTTCACAAGCACTTGGCAGAGCTTCAGGTGCACTAAAACCACCGCTCAAACCGAGATTCTGAGAGCAAGCGAAAGAGCTGCATCAATTCAATGGATCAAGAGCACAATCAAATGACCACAAACAATTTCAAAGGATGTGTTTTACTCTAATAAGCACTCACCTAAACCCAAAAATCGAGACTTTACCTGCGACTAAAGGAAGATTGGGCATCCCCACGAATTGGGGACAAAGCTCCGATCGATGAGGATCGTCGCCGACTCAATGTCGGAAAAATTCGAACTCCGGTCAAGTTGATTCTTCCGCAACTACTTGACTAATTTCACTTCCAATCAACGGAATCATCGGATTAATCTCGAATTCGCCATGGCTCTCGCCGCTAGAGACAGAGAGAAAGTCACGAAAAATATTTTCTCAAAATCGCGATATCCAGAGAGAACTAAAAAAAGTGAGTGTTTTTTTTTTCTTTTGTTAAAACTCTCCCTCCAATAGAACACTGACACGTGTCCGGCTCTCTCAAACTCTCAAAACTCTCTCAAGAGAATCGATTCTCTCATCTTTATTCATTTTTGAATTATTTTTTTCCCAATTTAAGATGAGAACTCATCAAAATATAAAAGAGAACCTCCCATTGGAGGTGCTCTCAGGAAAGATAATTCCGTCGTATTATTTATAACTATTATTTTAGTATAGCTTATTGATTAATCATATGCCTATTACATTATACTAAATTCTAAATATTATGATGACTAAATATTATATATAGTTTTTTTATGGTGGTGGACTGGTGGAGCAGGTGCTGTAGAACGTATTAGTTTTCTAGGATGTGTAAATATCTAGTAGCTCCAATACTTATTTTAGCTGTAAATGCACATTGTAGCGTTTGAGTTGCTGCACATATTAGCGTTTGAGTTATAAGATACAGTAGTAACTTTAAGAAGATTTTTTTTTAAAAAAGTTGCTTTCCTCATAGAGGAAACGCAAAGCAACAGATCTCATTAACAAACAAACAAGCAAAAAAAAAAATATATATATATATATATAGACCATTATTAACATATTAGTTAAATTTTTGTTAGTCTAGTTTTTGCCTTTTAGGTTGGAGACACACTTTTGATCATAATGTGCGTTAGAAGTCCTAAATTTTGGTAATGAGTTCGCGATTATACCCCAATAAATAGATGAGCTATCAGCATCTTTGATTTGGTGTGATAGGATGATATGAAGATCTATGACATATCACATATACATGTATATTTGTGTGTATATATATATCATAAGAAATATTTAAGTCACATTCCGTGTGACTTAGAGAAACCCATGGGACACGATATTTGTAGATGTATAGGTGTAATTCGTAACTTCGTATGTGGTCTCCTAAAGAAAATTCAAAGATACTTGACTACTTGAGTGCAAGTGACTTACCAAAATCTTATCCTCTTATATATGTAGGTGAAGATATATATTGGAATACATACAGTAAACTCTAACTTAAGAATACCATGTAAATTCTACGTTCTTATAATATTGATGATGATTCGGTCGAGTAATTTGTGTCCTACTTGCTCGAAAAGGATCTATTGTTACATGATCAAACAGATATTTGAGTGAAATTAATGGAAGGTGGAAGAAAAGGATAAAAGAGAAAGAGATACGATTTCACGAGAAAGAAAGGAAGATAATTTTGTAGAATCTCAAATTAATGGTTCGAAGTAGTTTTTGAACATTTTCTAACGTTGAACTCTACTTTATTCTGGAATAATCATCTTGTATCGGGTCTCGTGGGTATTACCACTCGATATGTAGAGCGTAAAAATATGATTTTTCAATATATAAAACGTGGAAATTGTTCTTTGCTCAACTAATTAGCTTTTTCCTGTTATTTTCTTCTGCTAATCATAATTATTTATTATTTCAATTCAACGAATAGTCATTAAGTCATATTGAATCCATTCCTCTCGTCAATAACCGGTAAATATCATATTCTAGAGGAAAATTAACAACTCCACTTAATTATACTTATATGACCCGTTTCAAATTTTTGATTTTTTTTTTGGTCATAACTCATAACTAAGCTATATGATAGTTTTATGGATAGGTCGTTTGTGGCGATTGGTTAGAAACTCAAAAGAAATGACTCTCCAAAATTTGATAAGCTTCACTTCAAAAAAAAAAAAAAAAAAAACATTCTAAAAAATGCGGTGATGGTTCGATTAGTATGTAAATAGTCCAATTTAAAACCTTGAAACGTTAAGGCGCTGGCCTGTTAAATTAATGTGCTAACAATAATAGAGCACTGCAAAACAAATTAATATTTCTAAACATATATATGTACATATAGCTTTGGATGAGTACGGATTACATTTTACAATCTTTGAAGATACGTATAAAGGATTTTGGAGTTTAGCGTTGAAGAAAGTTGTAGATGGGAGAAGGTCTAGTCTTAGACTGGTACTCAATAATTAGTGGAAGCAGCTTCAGAACTATGGAATAAAGTTTATACTATGTGTGAACGCACGACCAAATATGCAATATTTTGTTTTACTGCGTTTTAGATCGTCCAGCGACTTGAGAGTTGAGAGGTACGTCAATTTTTCAATCCAAGTATTCTTGGTCTTACATTTTGGGGGCATTCAAAAAAATTCATTTAGTTAATGTGTCTGCCTTATAATCGCGACCAATCTTGACCCCTAAAAACAAGGCGGACCAATCTTGATGACCCCTAAGAAACGGACGGTAACACGTTAATGCTTTATGTAGTGTCTAATTTATTAAATTTTTGGTTAGAGTTTACAATTTTGGTCTAAAGTATAAAGTTTATTTGGTAATTTATACGTCAACTTTAACAAAAAGATAAGAAGATAATTTATACGTCAACATTATGATAACATATCACATAACAAATCATTCAATTTGTAACACTTGAATGAAAAATAAATTGTATAGATCAAAATTTTCTAATTAGAAGTTCATCAATTACCTTGTACTTAAATTTTCTTCGATTTTTGAGTTCGCAAAATGTTATTTATTTTTAATCAGCAAATATCAAATTTTCCAGGCTATTAGTGGATGAAAATTATAGATCCACAAAAACGCTACACTGATGGCTAGTAAAACAAAATAATTTGTTTATTTAAAATAAGAACACAACATTTGATTTCGTCATAAAAATTAAATTGAAAAGCTCAAGTCAAGCTCCAACTTTTTCTTGTTCCTAAATTTCTTGCCGTAGTGAATAAATCCACAAAGCTCACAACTCTTTGCCACCCTCTCGTGACAATACTAAACATTTGAAATCATTCAATCTAAGGAAAAAAAAAAGAAAAGAAACCCTTGAGCCGGCGCGTCCAATATCCCTTCTAGAATGGCCTGGTGTGGCGGCCTCTAGCTAGTCCGCACATAAGAGCGTTCTTTGGTGGTGGATACTCATCTCGGTACGAAGTAGAGGAAGTGTAAACTCGGAGATAGAATTGTTGCCCTAAATACTGTCTTGCCCAATTCTCCGACCTTATGTTCCACATCCCAACATTATCCAACGCTATGTAGATCGCTGTCCATGCCCTCGGATATACTTGAACGGTGGACCGTGAAACCGCGTCCCGCAGGTTGTACTTTGATCGGCTTCCGGGTGTCCATTGTCCTCCATCCATTCTGTTATCCAAGGAAATGTGAAATACATTCAACATAATTCTAAGACATGAAACCAAACCGAACTAACCAAACTATATACTAGACACGGTTTGCTTACATTTACGAAATACCATAAACCAAAAACGAACCAAAGCCAAATTTGTGAATCAGATTGCCCATTTTAGTTCCTAATTATAAGATAAATAGATTTTGATTTTTTCAATAGTAAAGAGAATTGTCTTCTTACCCGACGACGAAGAAAGAGTAACCAGAGACGTGCCAAGACTGGACTGAATTTTCCCAGTTTTGGAAAACAACCTCGATGAATTCTCTGAAGTTAGCGGCCATAACAGAGCTTTGAAGGTACCCTCCGTTTCCACCAGAGGGACTCGTTGGGATGCTTCCAAGGTTAAAAACTCCGGGAATCTTGAAGTAATCGGCGAGCTTCAATGGTGTGTCAGGCGCAACAAACGAGGCACCGTTCACGGCGAACCTTTGCTTGCCGTTAATCCAAGGAGCCGAGTTGGCGAGTATGATCGTACGGCCTGGTTTGATCAAACCGTAGTGATACGAGCCTTGCGGGTTCGGTCTCGGACCACTCGCGGTAAGATTCCTCCTATATATCACATGAATACACAAACATCAGAAAAATCAAATTTCAAATAAAATCCCCTGTTTTTTAGCGGTTACTTGTACATCAAGAAATATGTTTTTTTACCGTATAGTTCGAGCTTGGTAGAGCGAAGATGCAATGTCCAAAGTGGGACCATTTGGAACAGGGCCAGAGACGCCTTTTCTCGAGTTACTGTAATGGAGAATCGAAGTCGTTGTGAGGACTTTTCGCGTGAACCTCGAGGAGATGACGATGTAATAGTCTTGAGGCGCTTGGTTAGCCGTCACGAGGACAGAATAAGACTGTCCTAAATGAATGTCAAGTGAAGTGTAGATGTTTTGAACAGTGTGAGACCCTTCTACTTCAACGAGCTTCATCGTGTGTCCTTGGATTCTGAAATTTAATGAAGTCGCAACCCCGACGTTTGATATTCTGAATCTGTAGGTCTTACCAGGTTGAACGGTGAAGGTATTGCCTCCCCAGCCGCGACCATTGATGAGAACTCCATCTGGATTCGGTAGATTCCTTCCGGCCTCTAACAGACGTCTCAAAACCTTAAAAACCAAAAATATAGTCATATATCAATAAACCAAAGACCTAAAACCAAAACGTAAATCGTGTTGTTTGGTTCCTTTTCTTGCGGTTCAAGCAAAGAGATTAGGGCAATAAGGAGTGTACTTACATAGTGATTTGTTTTGTACCAATCCCCAGCGAGAAGCCAGAAGTCACCGTCAGGGGGAGAGAACGGGACAGGGATGCGAGGACGACTCCAGACACGGATGGCTCCAAATGCACCAGCGGCTTTGTGGAAGGCAAGAGAAGGGAAATAGTAGAAGCTACCAATTTGATCTTTGACTTGGATTACATAAGTGAAGTTTTTGCCAGGTGGAATTGGACATGTTGTCCCTACGACTCCATCTTGCCATGAGTTCTTCCTCTGTTGCACTCCGTTCCTAAAAATAAACAATCTTTCAAGATTAGGGATATTTAAGATCAAAATAAGAGTATGAGGTTACATTTTGGATATTTTAATAGATCCGGGACTTAAAAGTTAATTTGAATGACTTCCTTTTGTTTCCCACTGACACTTAAAGCTCACATGTGTCATCGCATGTGACTAGTATGGATGGATCAAGTGGAATATTTTAATTTTCTTATGCCATATCTATATTAAGATATTATATATTGTATGTTTGACAGCCAATCATGTCGGGTGTAAGAAAGAGCTTTTATGATTCAATAAAGAAAAAGAAATTGACATTCTCAAATTAAATAAAACAAGAAAATTATTTTCCATTTCTTTGTAGCCAAATCTATTTTACTTGAAAAACTATAATGCTAGCTAGATTTTCTGATTTAACTCTTTACAAGTTATCAAAATCCTTCAGATTTGACAAAAGTACTAATCCCAATTGACAAAATAAAAGTTACTAAATCCCTAAAGAGTAAATACTATTTTTGTTCTTTTGAGACTTTTGAGTTGAGATATTCTTATATTAACTAACTACAAACAAAATAAAATTGATTGTTAATGAAGTACTTTATTTGCTTTAAAACTTCCATTACCGCTACAAGTAAGTATACGTATTTAATAGCATTAAAATCACCGAGAAAAACTAATGAATATAAATTTGTGATTAAATCTTCAAGAAGTATTGTTCTTTGGAAGATATCTATCCTTTCTTCTTCTTGTGTTCGAATGCATAAACATATATAAAAGCATATATTTAACTATTGAAATTGTGTGAGATGAGAAGTACTCAAAGCACATTTGTCCAAAAGCTACATTCTTTTGGAAAACAAAAAAAAAATTCACAAAATCAAAAGTTAAGATCTTATCCTATTTTTTCATTCTTTATTGCTTCTTTCTATCCAAGAATATTCAACTCTCTCGGCAATTCATTAAACACATTATACGGCAAATAAGTAAAGATTTGTGAAAGAACTTACCAAGAAAGGAGGAAAGGCTCTTTCAAGTAATTGAAAACACTAATAATGATATTATCATTTGTGATTGCGTCAATGTGAGGTCCAGGAAACTGCCCATTTATCAATATTCCCTGCATTAACACGAGAAAATGTTATTACAAGATTTTCTCGACAAAACAAACAGAGAAAATGTGAAAAAACCAAGAAAGAGAGAAGAAGAAGAAGAAACAGTTGAAAGAACACACCTGTTGTTTAACACCAAGGGGATAAATGTCACCATAAGTGATTTTCCAGGTGAAGAATCTATAAGGGTTATCTCCAAACACACCATTGATTAAAACCAGAAGAAGAACTACAGTGACTTTGCAAGAACCTCTCATTTTTTTTTCCTCTCTTCTCTGGTTTTCTTTTTTTGGGTTTGGATTATTGATCTGAGTCTGAGACTGAAGAGAGGTGTAGATCCATATACAGAGGATTTTGGAGAATCTATTTATGATGCCCTCTTAAATATTAGTAGCAGTGGCACCGACGTAATTAATATGTTTTTGTATTGAAGAAATATTTTTTTATAAAATATTAAAATGTATATCCTCAAATGTTATCAAAATCATCAAATTTAATTGGTTGAATTGAGAGCTTGATTTGCATTATTAACTATAGGTTTGAACTAAAATTGAAAAACGAAATAAAAATTAAGAGACTTTTTCCTATAAGTCAATGTCATTATTAAATCCTTTCACACTTTACAATATTGTTTGGGAACCTAGTATTTAGTTATTTACCAATTCGGTGTAACACCTTGGATTGCAAATTATGTCATAATACTCCCTCCGTTTCGTTTTAGTTGTCGTTTAAGGTTTTCGCACACAAATTAGAAAATCATTAAATTTTTTGTTTTACCATTTATTAATATATTTTATAATTTTTTCATTGGTCAAAACATTAAAACATTAAAGACAAAACATGAATTTTCACCGAACATTTGCATTGAAAACCTAAAACGACAACTATTATGAAACAAAATTTTAATCCTAAAACGACAACTAAACTGAAACGGAGGGAGTAGTTAGTTATATACAATAGTAAAAAAAAAAAATTAAATTTGTCATAAGATTCTCTGTCTTTTTACTCTTTTTAGATCTCACTCATCAAAAAGTTTATAATTAATTTTATTTAAAAGTGTTTGGGCCTTCTTTGGGTCAAGAGTACATCGACCATTGCTCCGTATTGTCCGCAAGTGAAGGTGTTTTGAAACGCGGCGTGTGAGCTGTCAGGAGGTAAGAATCACGTGTTTCTGTTAAATCTTGTATTGAATAATTTAACCGTCAGATTAAATATTTAGCTGAAGTCAATGCTATTGGACGGTGGAGATTACATATCAGAGTTATGAAGGTGAGGTGTACCATGGAGGTGAAGCGGAAGATACAAGTTTCTGCCATTTCACGTGCTTGAGTACAATTCTGCACCATTAGCAAAGATTGAAGAAAAAGACAAACAAGAAAAATACTGTTATTTGAATTATAACCAAAACTCATGTATGTGTGAATGTAAAATGTGGTCATGTTTTGTAATCATAGGTACATTCCGAAAATTTCGGTAGAAGTAAGTCTTTTGAAAAGTTTCTGATTTATGGGTTTGAAGCTTAGTTGTAAATTGTAATTATTCTCTTAGCTATGAAAATTTGGTTTTTTGATAGTAGCTTTTTTAAGTTTAAGAATATATATGATCCTTTTTTTCTTTTTTCTTTTTTTTTATATATATGATCCTTGATCCACCTAAGAAGTACAGTGTAATTATTTTAACCAAATGTTTGGTGGACTAGTGACGTTAACTCGATCAAAGTTAAACACTTAAACCTTGTTCGATTTTGTTTAAGAAGAATTAGTATCAGAAGCTAGTCTCAGATCCAAAGAGATTAATTATTATATATGGATACATACATTATACTACATACCCAAAACTTTCTCGTTAAAAGCCAAAAACAAAAATAACAAGTTTTGAAATTATTTTATTTTGAACACTTATTTTCTTGAGTTGAATATAACAACAAATTATTACAAAGATGTAGTATGAAAAATTAGAGATCGATTTATGTCTAATGCGGTTTATGGGGTTATATCCTGTTGTCGACACTCCAAAACAATGATGTAGTACTTAAGCAAGAATGGATGTCATCTCATGACTCAGACTGGACCATGTCCATAATCATGAAATAATTAACTGGATTATAAAACACTTTGGACTTAGGAATATTATTGTATTTACGTTACGTGGAGCGGTGGAGGAAGGTTCCTCGTTCCTCAATGAATATTGTTATAATATACAATATTCATACTGATGTCATGCACCGCTTAGTTATTACGACGGAATCGACGGGATCTTCGGAGTAGTAGACTAAATGCAATAGATCTCATTCAATGCTATCTACTTGCGTGTTTCATTTCCAACATCATCTCTAACAGGATTTGAATCAGTCATATGACAACATTAACATACAAAACATTGGAATTTGGAAGCACATGTAATGATCAACTGTTTAATTGTTAAGGGCAGCGATATATATGCCACAACTAATTAAAAAGTTTATAACAAACACATGAAATGTAGTAAACAAATCAAACACATGTGGTTCCGTGGTTTGTTCGAGTCCTCGAGTGAATCGACGACTTATCCTTTCTTTTTTTTCGCCATCGACGACTTATCCTATGTATGAAAGTTATATAGATCAAATATTCAAATTCTACAATCGACTAACATCATTAATATATTTATTTAGTATGGCTCGTGATTGGTGTTCAAACAAAAAAAAAGGGATGACTCTTGATTTCGCGGAAAGGAAAAAGTGTTAACGCAACGTAATGCCACACTAACCTGAGACTCTTTTTTAAAAAAAAATAAAAAATAAAAAATAAAGTTATTATAGAGTTTGCGATTTCAGTGGCTTACCATTTTTAGCAATGCACCAATGTATACGAATGAACAAAACATTTAACATTCATTGAAATGGGCCAATTGATAACCTAATGTATCAGGCCACAATTCACTATTAGGCCATAAGGGCCAATAATACTATACATTTGGTTATATAGTAGCTAGCCCAAATATACTACAATCTTTTTCTGTACTGATCTAACCGGCCACTTGGATGTGCCATGTGCCATGCCTTGGATGTGCGAATAAGAGCTTTCTTCAATTTATTCTCTCTTTCTCTCTTTTTTTTGAACAAAATTGTCTCTCTCTTTCTCTCTAAGCCAAAAAATTTCCGGCATAAAAATTAAGTCACAAATCACAATCACAACTGATCATCTTCATGTATGATATATGTTATCAATTCCGTACTCAAATTTCATATCTTATATAGTTATATATTCAGTTTTTTTGTCCAAAAAAACAAAATATATATTCAATGTTTGAGACAATTGTTTTGTTAAAATAAGCATGTGTTGGTTTAGTTTTATCACATGCATTAGAATGCTTAGGTTGGTGAAGCAAGTAGTAGAACACGATCAAGTTGGTGAACTTTCCCATGCTTGTTTATGGATGAAATATGTTTTCATTTATTTACTCTATTAATGATCTTTTGGTTGGAAAATAAAACTTAACGATATATTTATAATATGTTATCATTATTTCTCGTCCAAAAACTTAATATCGGTTTATTAATAAATTATAGATTAACAGAAGCAAGTGTCCAACGATGTACAATTATAGCTGTTCGTTAGGATTTTACGCAGAGAGGGAAGTGTAATCAGATCATGGATCAAAGGTGTTCGACAAGAGCATGAATAAGGAAGTGTCGTTTGAGGTGAATCTAATATGGGTCGGAAGGAATTGTCCGTTGTAAAATCGTCTATGTAACATTTCTCATAATTTACAATAAATAATAAATCTAAATGTTCAAAAAAAAAACTTAATATCGGTTATTTCCCAATTTAATTTACTACAATACGTTGGAATATGGTAATCACAATAGACGGTTGAATCTGTAAGAGCACCTCCATCGGTGGGATGGAAGAGGGTTTTTGATAAAAATTTATTAATAAAAAGTAATAAATGAAGAGAGAGACACAGTTTCTCGTTAGAGAGACACAGTTTCTCGTTTGAGAAACTCTGAGAAACGTTTCTGCACACGTGTTATAAATATATTGGTTTAATTATTAAAAAACAAAAAAAAAACAATAATTTAATTAAATAATAATTTTTTATTTTTTGAGAAACTTCCATCGTGTCTACGGATAGAGATGTTCTAATTAAGCTCATTAAATTTAATAAATTTATATTTTTTCAAAAACTAAAATATGTACCTTAATGATTTGCACTACTATCGTTATTTATGAGTTATTAACAACAAAACAATTTTTTTCTAAAAATTGAGATTTAAAAGCAAAATATTTAGCTGTGACTGAAAAAATTTCGTAAATGGTTAAGGTGTGGTAACTAGTAAATACACTGTATTATAAAATTGAATTCAAAAAAAAAAAATTAAGAGTGAAGTGTATAAAATAAATCAAATAGAAATAGTACTCTTGAATATGTATTTAGAATGGGAAAAATGTCAAAAAAAATCATGAACTTTTAAATTTGGGACGATTTAATCATGAACAACGAAGAAGACATATAAATCGTAAACTTTTTGTTGACTTTAAAATTAATTAACAAAGTTTGGTTGACTAGCCATTTTAGTCATAGCGTTAAGTAGGCTAACAGAAAACGATAACGGTGTTAAACTACCGTTTACCTTCTCTGTTATGTCAAAACGATATCGTTTACTGTAGCGATAAAACGACGTCGTTTCGATGATTTGGGGAAACTTAAACCTAAATCTCCAAATCGATGTCATTCCTTAACCCTATAATTTCTCTCTCGCTCCCTCTGTTGAACAAGGAAGAAGTTGGTGAAGAGGGACAATGGGACATGGTATGTGTTCCACAAGAAAACGAAGGAGGTGGTGTCGAGGCAGAAGAAAACGATGTAGGTGGTGTCGAGGTAGAAGTAAACGATCGAGATGGTGTGGAGGAAGAAGCAAACGATCGAGGTGGTCATGAAGAAGAAGTTCTAGGTTTAAGGAATGAAATCGATTTGGGGATTTAGGTTTAAGTTTCCCCAAATCATCGAAACGACGTCATTTTGTCGCTACAGAAACGATATCGTTTTGATATAACAGAGAAGGCAAACAGGAGTTTAACACCGTAATCGTTTTCTGTTAGCCTACTTAACGTTATGTCTAAAATGGCTAGTCAACCAAACTTTGTTAATTAATTTTAAAGTCAACAAAAACTTTACGATTTATATGTCTTCTTCGTAGTTCATGATTAAATCGTCCCAAATTTGAAAGTTCATAATTTTTTTGACATTTTTTCCTATTTAGAATTGTAAAGTGAGCGTATTTTATATTTATACAAAAATACAAATTAATAAAGTTTTAAAAAATATTTATACTAAGTAATTAAAAATAGTTTTAGAAGAAGAAAAAAAAAACAAAAAACAAAAAAAAAATAGGAAAAAGGGTTACTAACGCCAAAAACCCAACCCTTGTCCCGTGTTCTTCATCAGCGCCGCGTTCTCGAAGTTGCTCTCACAATCAAAAGCTTCTCCGATCTTCCAATCGTATGTAAGTTTTTCTCTCATTCCATTTCGAAGACTCGTATCGATCTCAAATTCGATTCGTATCAAGTAGAAGAGATTGATAAACCTAGTTGTTCCCGTAGTCTGAGAGGCTTTAGATTTGGAATCGAAATCGATTGTTACCCATTACCGAATCCTTGCGTTGAACTGATCAAACCCTAATTTCTGGGGATTTAGATCCATTTGCTTCACATTTCTGCTTAGTAAATCAAGAATTAGTCTCCAAAGATTGTTCTTTTAACAACATTCCAACCAATCTGCGCTTGATTTGTAAGGAAATGTTGTGTCAATTTCACTCTCACTATGTTGTTCTTCATCACCAAATCTCTCTTTGGCTTCAAAGTTTTTATCTTTTTGCTTCTATGCATCATTATCGTATCATGCCTTTCTTCATTCTGCTATTAGCTAGCAAGAGTTTAGAGGTTCTTAACTTAGTGTGAGCTAATTGGATTACAATGACAACTACTTCTGTGAGATATTTTCATCTTTAAAGAATTTGTGGTTTTGGTTATATGCAGAAGTTATGGCTGGGAAAGCTGCAGAAGCTGTGGCAAAGACAGTGACGGGGTTTCAATATCCATGGAGGGCGAAACTCGATAAGTACAGAACCGAGCTGACGAAAGGCGTGTGGGGTTATTGGGAGATGGGAGCATGGAAACCGTTAGGGATAAGCGCACGAAGGAGGGCGATGCTGAGGAAAGAAGTGTTGACTAATGGAGAAGATTGGCCTTATGATCCAGAGAGGAAAGCGATGAGGACAAAGAGGAAAGGGCATAAATGCGATAGAATTTCGGCTGAGAAAAGAGAGAACACTGCGAAACTTATGCTGAAGATGCCTCAGATGCTGCTTGATTACAAGAAGAGAAGGTGGGAGAAGAAGATGAAGGAAGAAGAGAAAGCTAAAGAAGACAAGTGATTGATTTGTTGAGATCATTACTTTAGTCATGAGCTGATGAATAATAATCATTTAGTTTGTTGATCTTATGAAATCTGGATTTTGAAATCTTGGGTTTAAGAGCACAAGTTTGCTTCTGATATGCTTTTGTATGATGTTTTTATGTTTGTTTTAAACAGAACCCAACAGTGGTTGTGGTCTTGTGGACTTGTGGTTAGGATCGGGTTCTTATTTTTTAACCCAAAACTAATTTTCACTGTAAAAAATGGTTTATGAAATATCGGTTCGTGCAATTTCTAGAAGAAATGAAGATGAAGAGATTGATAGGATTTGTTGATAGATTGATAAGTTAGACTAATTTCAGTTTACTAAATGATAAAATCTAAAATAAAGTCTAGCACAAAGAAAATCTCAACTATTTATTTAGTCAATTCTATAAATAAGAGTGGATTTTTTTTGGATTTCTAGAGGAAAAAAAACAGGAGAAAGTTTTATCGAAAATTATAATAATCAAACACATCACCATGTTTATATTTTACATATTCGATTAATTTATAATTAGAAAAGTTTGTTAGCTCTAAATAAAATCTTATAAAATAGATTATCAAAACCATTAAGCGTGTAAAATGTTTTTGCGATAAGTGTGTTACCTTAATAGAAGAAAAAAAAGAAATTGTTGGGCCAAAGTTGACTACTTTTCTCTACCACACGACCAAAGTGACGCAAGCAATGATATATAGAAATGCAAATGCCGCCACCTAAAAAAAGACGTCTAGGTTCAATGAACCTAATTTCACCTGCTTCTTTTATAATCCCATTTCTCTCACAAATCTTAACAGAAAAAAAAAAAAAAACAAAAAAAAACCTTAAGAACACATTTTCGAGAGATTTGGTTTGGTGTGAAAATGGCACTAGCAATCAACGTTTCTTCATCTTCTTCTTCTTCTTCTGCGATCTCAAGCTCTAGCTTCCCTTCTTCCGATCTCAAAGGTACCATTTTTATTTCTAATATCAATTCAGAACTCAATTTCAATCCCAAATTCGTGGAGAATCTTAGAAATGGCTTCATGGGTCATTGTGTTTTGAGGTTAAATTCGATCAATGTCGAATCTAATTTAATTTGTTTGTTTGATTCTTCAATACAGTGCCACAAATCGGATCATTGAGGTTATTGGATCGTGTCAATGTCTCTGCGGCGTCTCTGAGTTTATCCGGGAAGAGATCCTCCTTGAAAGCTCTAATGTGCAGTCAATTACAAAGGAATCCATTGTTGCTTCTGGTAAGTTCTGGTTTGATCTTGGTTAATTTCGTTTGTTGAAAAATGTAATTATGTTTTATACTAATGATCTTGTACTTTATTACAAAACAGAGGTTACAGAGAAACTAGATGTGGTGGAAGTTGAAGACTTTGAGGAACTAGCAAACAGATTAGAGAATGCTTCTCCTCTTGAGATCATGGATAAAGCTCTTGAGAAGTTTGGGAATGACATTGCAATTGCCTTTAGGTAAAGAATTGAATCATGAGAATACGATAAAGGAATGAAATTTGTTTTCGGTTTGCTGATTTGTTCTTTTGATTGGTTTTTCAGTGGAGCTGAAGATGTTGCTCTGATTGAGTATGCTCATTTAACTGGAAGACCTTATAGGGTTTTCAGTTTGGATACAGGGAGATTGAATCCAGAAACATACAGACTCTTCGATACCGTGGAGAAACATTACGGTATTCGGATTGAGTATATGTTTCCTGATGCTGTTGAGGTTCAAGCTTTGGTTAGGAACAAGGGTTTGTTCTCTTTCTATGAAGATGGTCACCAGGAGTGTTGCCGCATTAGAAAGGTGAGACCTTTGAGGCGTGCGTTGAAGGGTTTGCGCGCTTGGATCACTGGTCAGAGGAAAGATCAATCGCCCGGGACAAGATCGGAGATTCCGGTTGTTCAGGTTGATCCAGTGTTTGAAGGATTAGATGGTGGAGTTGGTAGTTTGGTGAAGTGGAATCCGGTTGCGAATGTTGAAGGGAACGATGTATGGAATTTCTTGAGGACTATGGATGTTCCTGTCAACACGCTTCACGCCGCGGGTTATGTTTCGATCGGGTGTGAGCCATGCACGAGAGCGGTTTTGCCGGGTCAGCATGAGAGAGAAGGGAGATGGTGGTGGGAAGATGCTAAGGCTAAAGAGTGTGGACTTCACAAAGGGAATATCAAGGAGAATACCAATGGAAACGCAACCGCTAATGTCAACGGGACATCCACGGTGGCGGATATTTTCAACAGCGAGAATGTTGTCAACTTGAGCAGGCAAGGGATTGAGAATTTGATGAAGTTGGAGAACCGGAAAGAGGCTTGGATCGTTGTGCTTTATGCACCATGGTGCCCGTTTTGTCAGGCAATGGAAACTTCATTCGATGAATTGGCGGATAAGCTGGGCGGAAATGGCGTGAAGGTTGCAAAGTTTAGAGCTGATGGTGACCAGAAGGACTTTGCCAAAAAGGAGTTGCAGCTTGGAAGCTTTCCAACAATACTTGTGTTCCCAAAGAACTCTTCAAGACCAATCAAGTATCCATCAGAGAAGAGAGATGTTGATTCTTTGACATCTTTCTTGAATCTTGTTCGGTAAATCCGCAAAAAATCCGCCGACTTTACGATGAGAAAGAGATCAATAAAGGACCTCTGAGTCTCGTTCCAGAATGCTAGAACAGATTGAAGCAGGTCAAGATGAGAATCTCTATTGGAGCTTTAGCTTTTTGTATAGCTGTGGTTAAAAATAGTTACACCAAGGTTTTGCCTTTTGTGATTTTATTTTTACCAATCTTCAGTGTATTACTTAGTTTTTGCCTTTGTGATGGATATGAACAAGTTTTCCAAGATACTTTGATATGAAAGTGACTCATTAGCCCCAAAATCACCAAGCAAAAGACAGTAAGAAAAAGGAAACGTTTCGATTAATAAACCCAAAGGGAAAGAGATTCAAACATCCAAAGCAAAGTTAAAAAGCCAGAGAAAAGAAGGAAGCAATGTACATTTCATCTTCCTGATTTATCTATGTACATCGAAGTCATCGAAAAGATCGATTTTTATTCAAGCAACGGTAAAGAATCCAAAAGTGTTCTCTCCACTGTAAGTCATGTAGAGGAACCCATCTTCATCTTTGTGCTCTTCATAGATTGCAGACATCAATGCAGCTGTTAAGAAACAAAGTGAAACCAAGTTAAGAGGTAAAGAACATAACTTTGATCTTGAATGGTGTTAAAGAGTTTAAAACCCTTACCAGTTGGAGGCAATGTGTTCTTGACAAACACAAAGATAGCTTTCTCAGCTCCAAGCTTGATTCTTTTACGCACCACGTATACAAATTGTCCCACTGTTAGATCTGCTGGTACTAGATACCTAAACGAAAGTAGAAGAAACACATTTGTGTTTGATTCAACACAAGTTTTCAAGATTACGATAGGGAAAAAGAGAGATAAAGCAAAGCCATTACTCACTTCTTCTTGTCAATGTCAGGAACATCACTTTGTCCAGCCTTTTCCACAATCACCTACATACAATCCAAGATTCTAAATTAGAACAATGCTTAACTAAATTTAGTAAAACAAGTTAATCAACTCAAGAACTCGCGAGCTTACGGGAATTCTGTCAGGGTACTTCTCTCTGATTCGAGAAGATTCACTCATTCTTGCCTCTGATTAACAAAACAAAACCAACAAAACTCCTTAGAAACAAGAACAAACACAAAACAGAGAAAAAAACAACAAAGTAAGAATCAAAATCATAAGCAGAGATTAAATCCGATCCCAAAATCAAAACTAGACACGATCTGAAGCAAGTCTTAGCAAGAGAATCGAAATAAAATATTCAGAATTCAGAAACTCAACAAAAATTAAGAATCAAGTAATTGAAAATTCGATTATGCAAAAGCTAAAGAAATTGAAAAAATTGGATGAGAAAGGGATTGAAGTAACAAACCGAGAGGGTTAGAGATCTTGAAGGAACTCTTAGCCATGGCGATTCGATTAGTTTCTGCAAATTTCAAGCAAGCAAAGATCATAATTATAAACACGATCGTCTGCTAGATTGGGGAGAAAAAAAACCCAGAAAACCCTAAAAGATCTCGAATTTATTGGTGAGAAGAAACATACCCGAAGAAGAAACTGAATGCGATTCGTTGAAAAATTAGGGTTTGCTGAGAAGAAATTGATTTTGATAGAAACTGGAGAAGAAGAATCGAGAGAGAAGTCAATATCAAGAGGAAAGGGTATTTAAGTTAAATAAGAAAGTAATAATTAATTAATAATTTAGTTAGGGTTTTCTAATGGTTGCCTACACGGAACTCTTTTGGAATCAGTAAACCACTTGGATTATTATTTGTTGATTGGATTACAAGAAATCTCTTACACTTGTCTTACGTCACCACCACCATCGCTTTATTATTCATGGGTCGTTTTGGGCCGAATTGGGCCTGCATTTAGGCTTTGTTGTATAGCTAACTAAGTTTTACGTAGTGCATATTTTTTTTGACGTCTTTATTTACTAGAAAAAGTTTTACAAAAGTCTCGAGTACCGTAAAAGAAATTTTGTAGTTTAAGCTAATGACTCAATTGTTATCATATTAAACTTTTTATATTTTCGAAAAGTTAAATTGTAAAAAAAATGGTTACCATAACCGAACTGAATTTAGCTCACATTATTATTTACAATATAGTGTGATTGGTACTATTTGTATATTGAACAAATCCAATAAAAGAAAATCCAACGAAACTTGAGATTTTTTGTTTGTCGGCAATTCAAATTTAGTACGGGTGAGATAGTACCAACTTGAATAAACTGAAATTCATCAAAACAAGTTTTTTTACTTATACATGATCTTGAGAATAGATCTTACTATAGTACATTAATTAAACTATTATTTTGTATATTTTGAAATAGATATTTAGCAACCAATAAAATCCAAATTCAAATCCAACTTTTTCAGTTCCAATTTGGTTCAAGAATGTCTAAAGTAAAAAATTTAAATCTACACACAGAAATAGATAACAGATACATATACCCATTCCCCTAGTAACACCATCCCTAGTTGCTATAACATTGAAAAGTGAAAGCTAATGAGCAATATGGCACGAGCCCTTAACCTTGTGTCGGACCTAAAATGTTAACATTATTCGCAACATTTTCCTCTCTTGATCGAGCCCAAAAATGGCGAAGAGATCGAGAGTGGTTTCAAATTTCTCACATTCAAAGGTTCCAAAGTATATGCCATTTTGTTTTTCTAAATTATCATTTAAGCTCACTAACTACTAAAGAGTTAAAGACCATTGAGAACTACAAACACAACACAAGAAAAATGATATGGGCCCATGCATGGGATTGACAAGTCATCCTCATCGTCATCATACTTATCTAAAAAATCCAAAAACCTAACAACAACAACAAAAAAGAAAGAGAACTCAACCATATTGGTAGTGTCATGATTCCCTACATGGTGATAACGACAATAACATTGATATTTAATAAAAATCATGTGGATACCATAAAGTTTTAGGTTTTTTTTTCATGATAATGATATGGTATGGTGGTATAAAGGGTTTTGTGTGAATGTGATATAGATCATCCACCCATGCTCCATGTCATACCATAACTATGGTGGTGATGTTGTTGATGAAGATGTGATATTCGATTCCAAGAAACCAGTTCTTCTTAAGATAGCATTTCTTGTTTTGCTGAGATCTCTTCCTTTGAGTGTTCTTCCGATTCCTTCACACATAGAGAATGATGAGATCTGCGTTCTTGCAAGTCTTTTTGCTACCAATTCATGTGGAGGAACCATTGAGCCTTCGTCATCATCATCAATGGCCCACGAATGCAAGTGGTTGCTTGTGTTCTTCTTTGTATACCCATAAACCTTGGACCAGTCAGGAATATTCATTGGAGCAGATGACTGTTTTGCCCCTCCAGAGACCTCGTTGCCCTTAGGAATGTACCGTGCAGAAGATGAAGAAGAGGCTGAGAAGAGATTGTTACTTTTGGACATTTTCATTTCAGGACCTGGAGTTTCACTTTCTCTTAAAACTGACCACACTTCTTCTTCTTGAAACTCTTCTCCCCCTTCCATTGTCACTCAACAAAACCCTTTAAATATATGCTTCTTCTGCTTCAACTAAGTGATTTTCTTCCTCCTGAATCCATGAAGATATTATTCCATCATTTTATCTAAAACCCAAAAAAAAGAGAAGAGACAGAGTGATGGGAGAGAAAATAGAGAAAGGGAGAGAGAGAATTTATTACCTGAGAGACGCAGAGGAAGATTCAGTGAAAATGTGATATTGTATAAAAATGTGAACCATAAACAACATTAAACAATCTCTCTTTGCTGGCAAATGAGAGACAGAGAGGTCATTGATTGCTTCAAAGGAATCAAAAGCCTCCACAATAGGCAGAGGTTTCAGAAACCTCCAAAACTGTAATAATTTCGTACTTTTTTTTGGGGTGCCATAACTATGAATTAAATTTTCTATAAAAAAATAAAATAATTAAAAGGGTTAGATAGAGAAGTGGTAGCCTTTGGTACTATTTCTACTAAGACCTGCCAAAATTATTGATAGAGTCTGATTCATGCAAGAAGACAAAACAATGTACTATATTGAAAAGACTTGCTTTATCTTAAATTATGCTTTTGCCTAAGCCCTTTTCAAATTACACTTTCTAATCCTTTTTTGGCTATAATTATAGATATTGTTATAGTGTGAAGAGGACAATGTAAATTGACTCAAAAGGGCTTGTGATATTATTGTCCTTCATTAAAATTCGGTTTGATCAAGTGGTTTTTGAACAACCAAGGATGTGTAGTTATGTAGTAAATGGTTTTTCGTTTTCTATCACTACGTATAATTATTGAAAAATATCTGAACAATTAATTTGTATTTATCACACAAAAAATATCTGAACCCCGTGTCCGTACACACATAAATACATGAGACTTTCTGGTGGGGTAAGAATCAAATCGATTTGTAATTTCTGAAAGAAAAAAAAACAATTTGTTAGGCTATCCAATCCAATCCAACATTTCATGGGTCTCATCGCAAGGGTCCAGGGACGTTATTCCAAAGCACGATGCATTAAAATCTGTAACTTTTATACAAGACCTCTTATTTTCAGAGGTTTCTTATTTCACCCCTCGAAATTTATAGAACACAAATACGTACCTAGCTACCCTAAAATGTAACGAACTAGTGACCATAATAATTGTAAAGAACCTCAAATTTATAAGTCAAGCTTAAGAAAAAATTCTTAAGAATATCTTGTTCATGCTGAAAGTACAAAAATTGTTGGAACAAAAACGATGTATATGACTAAGGGGTGAATTTTGCAGTATGATGTTGCTGTATCTTTTAAATCAGTTGAAAATGAGAGAATGAAAGTGCATAAGATGTTGGGATAAGAGATGATATGATATAAGATAGGCGGATTAAATATTAGATGTTTACAAAAAAGATTACTCGTCATAAGAAATTAGAGATGGAGAGATGTTTAGGAAAGGATTTTTTTTTTTTAAAATTTGTATCTCATTAAATCTAGGACGGTAAAAAAAAAAAAAAAAAAAAAACTAAGACGGTACATTTCATAGCTATGGGTACGAGGAAAGTATGTGCTAGCTAGGGGTAACTGAAAATATACATATTAG